TCGTAAGCCCATGGTCGACCACAACCATGACAGAATCAAAGCCAGCACAGGGAGGGAGATCAGTGATCAGATCAACAGACACTTGGGTGAACAGAGCCGTGGCGACGGAAGGGATAGGGACAAGAGGAGGAGTAGTAGGATGGGTGTCGGATTTCATCTGCTGACAGAGAGCGCAACCCTCAATGTATTTTCGGATATAGGTACCCATAGAGGGCCACCAAAAGTCCTGTCTTACCAACTCTTCAGTCTTAAAACGCCCAGGGTGACCAGCGGTAGGGTGATCATGACATCGTTCTAAAATAAGGTGCTGACCAGCAGGACGGACGTAGGCACAATCCTTATAGTAAAGGATATCGTCCTTAATAGTCCAACCCACAAGAGTGGATTTCATGGGAGGAAGGGAAAGGCCATCCAAGGTGTCAGAGGCAGCTTGGAAGATAGGGTCAGGGTCAGAGGGGTCGGGGTTCACGAGGGATGTCATGAGTTCGAGATCAAGGAGGCGGATGAACATGGAGTCAGGAAGAAGGGTTTCATTGGTATTATCTTCAGAGGAATCCATCCGTGGTTGGGATGATGGGAGAGTGCATCAGGAGCGATTAGTTTAGTTCCAGCAACATGGTGGAGTTCAATATCGTAGCAGGACAAAATCAACTGCCATTGGGCCTGTCGTTGAGTTAATTTCTGCACAGTTCTGAAATACAGCAGATTCTTATGGTCTGTGAAAATGATGACAGGGTGATGGTTACCCTCCAGATAATGACGCCATTCAGTTAGGGCACAGATGACAGCAAGGAGTTCGTGATCAAAAATCTGATAATTGCATTCTGCAGGATTTAACATTTGCAATAGGTATCCACATGGGTGGTAAGTGCCGTTTTCATCAGTCTGTAGTAATACTGCACTGGTAGCAATGAGTGATGCATCAGTTGCTACTGCAAACTGCCTATTCGGATCTGGGTTTTGAAGGACCAGTTGTTTAAGGAAGCATTCTTTTAAAGTGGAGAAGGCTGATGTGCATCGTTCTGACCAAAGAAACTTGGCATCTTTCTTGGTAAGGTCGATCAGAGGTCTGGCAATGTCAGAGTAATGGGAGATGAAGTTTCAATAGAAGTTACAGAATCCCAAAAATGACCGGACTTCCTTTACTGTTGTAGGGGCAGGCCAGTCGCAAATACCATCAGTCTTGGCGATGTCCATTGCCACACATCCAGGGCGGATGATCATCCCGAGATATTCTACCTCCTGTGCATCAAATGTACATTTCTCAGGTTTCAGGAAAAGCTTTTCTTGGTGAATCTTTTCAAGAACACGCCGGGTTCATTCATGATGAGAGGGGAGGTCATTGGAGAAAATTAGAATATCATCCATGTATATGACGAGCCATCCTTCATTGATTTCTTGTTGGAACATCCGGTTCATATACGCTTGGAAGGTGGCAGGAGAGTTGCAGAGGCCGAAAAACATGACATTTGGCTCAAAGAGACCATATTCCGTAGTGAAAGCGGCCTTCCATCTATTGTCAGGATGGATACAAATGTTGTTGTATCCAGAATGAACATCCATCTTCATGAAGTACTTGGCACCATGCAACTGAGCAACCAGGGAAAGCGGTAAAGGGAGTGGATAGGCATTCTTGACTGTCCATTCATTAATGTATCGGTAATCCTGACAGGGACAAAGATCTCCACTTTTCTTTCCTATGAAGAAGAAGCTGCTTGCTTGTGGCAATTTCAATTCCGAGATGAAACCTTTCTTTACGTTTTCATCAATGAAAGCTTTGACCTGCTGTGCAGCTCCACTTCTGATAATGGGTACACCTTGGACGTTTTAGGGATGAAACTGGGTTTGGTTTCAATACGATGGTCTATACCAGGTTACTCAGGCGGTAATTGGTTAAGGCCATCTTTCACAAAGATATCGGCGAAATCATGAAGGTAGGAAGGGACAAGCTCCTTAAACAATTTCTTCTTTTGTTCAAGTCTGGCTGCTAATGCAAATTGCTGTGCCTTATTACTGGTTTTGACGTATTCCGATTCTGTTGGCCAAGACAATGGCATAACCGTAGTTTGTTGTTCTGTGGTGCTAGTACCGTCTTTGGTTAGGGGAGTATCCATAGAAATGTTGGTGATAACCCAAAGCTCAGAAGTGTCAGTGGGATATTCAACTAAGAACTCAGTCGTCTTCAAGGTGGTACGTAGCAATTTCGCATATGGGTGGCACATAATCCATGGTCCACACATCGTCTTTGGTATCAAAGGAGTCATCATCGTTGTTAGGGATGGGGTCAAGGTTAGGAAGCATTGGGGATGCTTCTTCGTCTGGGATTTCTTCTATGGTGGCTTGGGGTGCCGGTTCTTTAGGTGATGCAGTCAAGACTGACTTCGCAGGAGGCACCTTCAGCAGCACTACAACTGGAATCGGTTCTGGTCTTGGACCGTTTTTCTGGAATTTCCAGAAGAAGGGTGGTAATCCATTCTTTTCTCAGTTCGATATCAACTTCTTCCTCAATCTGGTTACTCTTCTCAGTTCTGGGGAGTTCCAGCTCTTCTGCCTTCCATCGGATTACTGGGTCCATAGTGCGTAGCCAGGGGATCCCGAGTAATATCTGATCATGATGGCTGAGCCACGTGATGTTGAATTTCCCAATCATGGATCATTCATCAATTTTTACTATGAGGATGCAATATCAGGTGATAGTGCCCCCCTTCGTATAGCTTCCATCCGCAGTAGTGACTCGGAATGGTTTCAAAAGTTTGTGTGTCCAAATTTTGTGGGTTTTGACAAATTCTTCAGAAATAAAAGTTCCAGCAGTGCTGGAGTCAATAACGGCGGTTGTTTCGACGGTTTTCAGATGGGTTTTGGAGATGAGAGAAATAGGAACTCGAAGTTCCTTTCTAATTCCAATACTTCGTACAAGTCTGATAGGTACATCGGAAGATACTGACATCAATCCAGTCTTCCATGTCAAAAATCCTCAGCGAGGCAATGGATTGTTGTATCTTCATCCTCTTTATTGCTGTCGTCTATCTCTTCTCGACAAACAGGAACCTTCTTCTTCTGTGGGCACGCTCTAGTCATGTGTCCCTTCTGGTGACACATGAAGCATAATCCTTTCTTCATATGGTCACTTCTTTTGGCTTCCGTGAGCCAATCTATTTCCATGGCATTTGGATCGTGCCGATCAATGGATGGTCTAGGCACGTAACGTTGTCCTGTCGGTTTGGTGGTGGTATGATGGTTCTGTCGAAACGCGGCACCCCTCTGGTAGTTACTGTCAAGCCTAATGGCTGCGGCAACGTACTTGTCAAAATCTGTAGGAATGGTTTTGTTCCATCTGGAAAATGGAATTAACAATCCCCTTCTTTAATCCATCGTTGAAAAATGTGATTAAGACTGCATCTTGCTTTACGGAGGCCTGTGCAGCAAGGGTCTTAAAGCTAGTGACATAGGAGGTGAGGTCACCCATTTGTTTCAGGGTTCGGAGTTTATTCATGGCAGTGCCGATGGCGTCAGCTGGTACGAAGGCTTCTTTGAACTTGGTTTCAAAGTTCATGAAAGTTCCATAAGATTTAGAGGTGGAGTTATCGACTTTGGTATAGAAGGTAAGTGCCCAACCCATGGCGCTGTCTTCAGTCATATATGCGAGGGTGGTGATGACTTTCTTTTCCTCAGTATTATAAATTGTAGCATTAAGTGCAAAGTATGCCTTAATCACGTATAACCATCGTAAAGCCTGCTGAGGGCTCCCATCATAAGTAGAGGGGGCTCCGGCTTTAAGTTCTGGGGTGTTGGTGACAGTGGACATCCTGATCGTTCTGGTCTAGTGATGTTTCTGTTTCAGGGGACGTGCTTGTCTCTCTGATTCGTTCTGGGGTCTGGGACCTCTTCTGATGGAGAGGGTCAATAGGTGACTTTAATCTTTTGTTACAAACTAGGATAGTCGCAACAATAGCTACTCGATAAGAGCAATGGCTAAGGTTGAATCAAGACCTTACAAATGTAAGGGTCATTAAGGCAAGTCGGAGAGAGTGTCTCTGGCTTGAATATCTGGATCAGACGACTTAGGATTGGAGGTCCTAAGCAAAGGATGTTTCTGGTGAGAACCTAGTAGATTAAAGTGAAGATCTACTGAGTACATGACCAGGTATTTATAGTAAGTAGTATGAGTCAGAGATAAGAACGAGTCAGAGATAAGTCATCTAGTGACAGTAATAGCGATCATGATGTAATACAACTAAAAGAGATGAGTCATCTAGTGATGGCAATAGCAATCATGATGTAATACAAGTAAGTAAAAGATAAGAAGAATGGATAGGGGGCAAGCATAACTGTAACAGTAGGCTCATCAAGGAAGGACTTGTCATCAGAAATTTCTTCAATAAAATTAGGATCATTTCATTTGGACTCTCTGGTCACATTCCTGTCAGCACATGCCAAATTCTCTTCTATAATGGCCTCAAGATCCTCGAGATCAATAGGTACCATAACACACCTCCCAACTGATTCGACAATGCGATTAATCTCACCGTCCGTCAACGCGCGGGAATTCGCGGAGATGAAAGCATCGGTGCTTTTTCCCCCTGCCCTGCGTGGGGCTACAGGGTTCGAAGTTTCAGTCATTGTAAATGAGGGTAACTACGAAGTGAGTGACTGAATGTATGCGTGAGGACCCTCAAATTGAGAGAAAGGTAACGAGGTGGCGACGGTGATGGTGAAAGAAAAAGACGCGCGTGCATATGTGCGGATCGTCTTTTATGCGCCACTCGATTAGTAAGCCATTGTTCGAGCTTCTCACTCGCAGGCTCCTTATAAGCTCGAACTGCACTCTGGATAGTCAGTATGTACTATTTTGCAATCCGAGACGGTGGGCTTTAGTCGCGTACTATGTCATAAGGTTTATCGTCCAGTCGTCGCGTGTATAGGTTCAACGCGCCGGGCTACAACTTGGGAGAGAATTTAATAATACTGATAGTACTACTAGTAATACATCGTTTTCACGTTCATAGCCCATTCGACACTCCTATGCTTTCCTGCAGTTTCCTTTCTGCCTTTAACCATTCGGTAACGGGACTATCCTTACTTTCCCATTCCCACTGGGCTAAGAGCTGCTCTTTTCGAATCTCCAACTCTTCTTGCACGTTTGCTGCACTAGATATGTCAAAGTCGTACAAACGTCCTGCACGTGCCGATTCACGTGCTACGGATTGAGCGAATAGTAGGCGAACGTCCTGGTATACCTTCAACGCAGCGGGTACGTTATCCAATGTTGTGAGTGGGTGAGCAAGAAGGCGACCAAGCACAAAAGCATCCTTCGTACAAAGTGAGATCGCATGGCCTGGCGAAAGATTACGCTTACCTCTATTGCCTGGCCAGCTCCGGCGCCAAAGTGGGGTGTCATCGCATGACACTACACGCCGATTTCGTCAGGATATCTTCTATATAGTCAACAAGGAGAAGCGTACCGCATCACCTATCAGGGCAACTCCGTCATAAGCAGATAATGGCAATTCATTCACTACATGAAGCGCCCATCTTGAGGGGTTTTCGAAACACTGCAGAAATATCATCAGTCGAGGGTGGCATGAGGGGCATAGCCCAAAACTTACTTTCAAGAGGTTTTTAACAGCGGGTTCGAAGTCCTGATATGGTTCCTGAACCTCTTCATGGGACACAGATGAAACCCAGCGGTCTTCAAAAGGTGTGCCAGCTTTCTCCTCATCAGTAACAGATGCCACTACATTGATCAGTGTTCCTTGTGAAACTGGATACGAAACGACGTGCTATGAAGTTATAATACAGATTCATCAGCAAGTGGAGACCAGTAATAGCAGCAATCTACCTTTCTCATTCCGCAAAACTACAAAATGGGAGTTAATCACGACGATGACCACTGCTTTTTTGCGGGCTTACTATCACAAAATCCTTCAAGGATACGTGGTTTGGATCCAAATCCGAGAGCTTCTTCGCCGGAAATACGGTGCGATAGACGAGCGTCCCGGTCCAAGATGGATCAGTGTAGTGTCTTATCTTACTTGGGTCCACAACATCTCGATCTAATGTTTCGAAGAGCATCTTCCGCACTGAGGAGTGGACGCCATCTGCCCCTATTAACACGTCCGTAGTTGAGGTGCTATCATCAGCGAAGTGAAGCATGAGCGATCCTGATAACTGCTTGTCATATCGCGTGAGTCGTTTATTAAAGTGAAGGCTGCACGACGAGGGGAGGTGTTGCTTGAGGGTGTCCATGAGATGCTGACGGTGCATATGAGATGACATTAGTGTGGGAATTTGTTGAAACCATTCAAAACCACCCTGTGGAATATCAGACCTCCTTAATATTGGCGCTGTCGGCACGAATTAAGTTACATACGGCTGAAAAAAAAAATCTTTGACAGACCATGACTGGAGGAAGGGGGGTTGGTCGAAATACGGGAGATCTCTTCGTACACATCGAGCTCTTTCATGACCTCTGATGTACGGCCCGAGACTACAATCCCGGCCCCAACAGTCGTGATGGTGTCGTGCGCTTCATACAAGTCTATATGAATATCCCGATCTGCAAACTTCCCGATTGTGACAGCGAGAGCAAGCCCTCCTACGCCTGCACCGCTGCACAGGAAATTCAGTCCGCGTTACATTCTTGGAGTATCTGACTTACCAGATTGCTACTCGAAATTTGGGATTGGCTAATGAGAACGACATTGATCAGAGGTCGGACTTTACAAGTGCTATAGGATGGGCGCGGTGGCTACCATTTTATAGGTCAGTTCGAGATACTATTTTGGGGCAATCAGACAGTCGCGTCCAGAAGTGTGTCGTAGTGATTAAAGGGCTGGCATCTGCTGGCGGACTGTCAATATCTGAGCCCGCATTGCGTGGAGCCGTAGGGCCGGAATGTGTTAGAACCTGAAGTGAAATAACTATACCTGAGTAGTAAGTCGTTTTGCTCAGGCTGCCCACTGTTGTGACTCACCGTGATACGATCGTCGGGTCATACGATGACTGTGGAGATAAGTATTTGGCTTGGCAAAGATATGACTACAAAGAAAGGCAGTTCTTGACCGATCAGCGGGCTGGACAGCGATACACTGCAACGCAAACAGTGGAACAGTGGTCATGATAGATTGAAATGGTGCATCCGATGTCTCGCGGGCCACTCTGCAAGCGACACTAGTCCATTTTCAGGAGCCGATCACGGTGTGGCAGATGCATTTAGGACAGCATCGCGCAGAACCTGATTTTGTAGGGCCTCCCGTTAAGGAGGCCGAGGACAAGGATGATACGATCATGAGTCGTGAATTGGCAAAAAGACGGGACATACGAAGAATCAGTTCATTACGGGGAACAAAAATAGCTGTCTCCGCCGATGGAATCTTGCACGAGTTAACGATGGATGCAAAGGTTTTAACCACATTCGTTGCCGACGTAATCTCCCTCTTTCCGCGCCAGACTGTACTTGAGGTTACTTGTACATAAACAAAGTCACGGTATGAGATTCAGAATCAAATTTCTCGGCCGGAAGATATGGTCACTATGGTGGTTCCAGTATTGATAATTGCTAGAACCGATGCTAGCATATCAGTTGCTCCTACATGGGTTAAGTTGGTCGAAGAAGGTTGAAGCAGAAATTCAATTTCGGACCTAGTAACGGAACGGGCCCTTAATGGCTTTTCGGAGTAGCCCGTAAGCTTGGTAATCCTAATTGGTAGAGTTATTCGTGAGTTACTGTAAGTTACTCCAAGGATTTACTAGGACAGATACCTTTTGTCTTGCAGCTTGTCATGACGAAGCACAGTAAAAATAATACGGCATCTTCAGTATTCTCTTACGCTGAGAGACAGAAGGCGGAGTATGGTACGAAACGGGTGCGTCTGCTCAGTTGGATCATACGAAGCTTTTCACCAAGTACTGCAACAGCAACGCCTGGGTAATGAATCAATGCGAAATTTTGACGCATGTTCTTTGTGCCTGCAACGAGCGAGAGAGCCAATAGCATGCGATCAAGGTCATTTATTCTGCAGGGAGTGTGCGTACACCGACCTATGTAAGTTCACAATGGCATGTATAGTTTCATACAAATTGAGTATTCAGTGACACAGAAAAAGGATATTAAGCGGCAGAAGGAACGCCTTGAACAGCTGAAGAAAGAAACTGAAGAGGAGAAAGAGAGAGCCAGAGAGGCAGCCAGGGAACGTGTACTTCGTGATTTTGAGAAGGGTCAACTGGGATTGTCTGCGAACCTGCCGTCTGTTGCATCTGCATCTGGCGTCGGAGCGAAAGACTGTACGTATCTTCTCCATTCACTTCTCCTAGTGTGCTCAATCGCTCCCAGCTCGATCATCAAAGCGGAAGCTTGACTTCGACTCTTCAACAGTTGAAACTCTTACCCGTGAAGCCGAAGAGGCAGCCCTAAGACAGATCGAACGAGAGCAGGCGGAGTCATTACGACATAAACTACCGGACTTTTGGCTGCCTTCGCTAACTCCCACATACACCTCAAACGGTTTACCGAGCTCACTCAAGGATGTTAAGGTTCAAACAACCTGCCGGGGAGGGAATCCACCCCACCCGATAACGTTGGTATATATCATCTGTCATGGAAAACAACCTCTCATGACATTTTCAGCCTGAAGTCATTGGTGCCTGTGAAGTTTACATTGCTACCCGCTGCGTCGGCGTCGCAATCATCAGATTCTACTCCCGTGGAGAGCGACAAGGGTAAATCCAAATTAGGGGATGATGGAGTTCCAATTTGTCCAGCCTGCAAAAGTAATCTTCACAATAATAGGATGATGTTCTGTGAGTCCATGCCTCTGATATTGCTTGCAGGATTTGACCATTCGTAGTCATGAAACCATGTTCCCATGTTGTATGCAAAGTATGTGTTGATAAGCTGGTGCGGGTGGCCAAGCAGTGCATCGTTTGTGATCACACACTTGTTGATAAAGACATGATCGAATTAAAGAGAGAAGGTATGTGTTTGTTTAACTTGTTTGGGGTCATGTAGCTCCTTGTGGAGCAAAAGGACTGCGTTTTGTGCTACCACATTCTGATTCATTATATCGTCAGGCACTGGCTTCGCAGGAGGCGGCATTGCAGAAGCGAAGAAGACAGGTGTCGCGTTCCAGGGTTGAAAGTACTCGTCTGTATCAAGTTTGACTTGATAGGTCTCAAATTGGTTTTCACAGTTCAAGTTGCTAAACATTGTCCTCGGTCGATTGAATGTGCGCTGTTTTGATAATCCTTCCACAGTGATCTCCGACTTACCATTCATGTTTCTCTGACGTATTGTCGCCAGACCGTTTGTACCGTGGCGCCAACTCAAATATTCACAACCCATCATGTTCACCCAGCTCTTTCCTCCACCCGAGTCATAACTTTATTGTTGTATTTGCGATTTGAGTGGTACATATTAAGCCCTAGAATGGCTTTGAACACCCATGGTGACCTGTGGCCCCGTCTTCTTAAGAATGTAAGCCCCTAGCTTTCACAGGGGACAACATTATTGCTGGTACCCAACCCAATATGTATGGAGTACTGCCGGATATGCATATCTTCCTGAATACTCGCCAGTTATTACTCCTTATGAACGGCGGTAGCTGCTGATGCTGCAAACACCCAGAGATCACAATTTCGGTGCGGTAATTATCAATTCGGACTGACGTTGCTCATTTCGAATCCGGCTATAGCAATCTGATAATATCTCTCAGATCTTAGTATGTCTCTGCGGGACCAGCTGGTGTATCATCTCAAGAGGCTCTTTGAAGTGTTGTAGGAGACGTGGTTCACCTTCTTTACAGAGACTCTCTTTCGGATCAGTGAATTGAACAGTCCAATTCGTGTCAGGTATATTTATTGAATACGTTTAGTATATACGCCTTTCACTTGCGCGTTCTTAGGTTCTCGAATTCTTGCTTCCAGTCGGAGTTCAAAACGCCACAATAATTATTTGAAACATCTCGCCAGCGTCGCCTCCCTGCGCTATAGTACTTCAACTCGATGGTAAACCAAGTTTAAGGTTGGTCCGCAATCTCCGGTTGCTGAATTTATGTAGGTGAACCAAGAAGAATCAAGGCTAGGTCAGAGCACCATCCACTAAGACTCCAGTGATCCATTTAGGCATCAAGTCAGATATGTTCTCTTGAAGCATCTAAATAACAAAAGGATTCAGAATCCATGCTCGATCAAACAAGCATCTTTGTTCGTTTCGCTGTCACAATATAACTTGAAGCTCAAACCCGTGGTGTAGCGGTGGACTTTAGTGTAGTCAATGCACCATGTTATCTCGTGTGTGGCGCGAGTTGATCTCTCCTTTGAAAACAGGATTGGCTCGCTCCTGCACCAGGCATTGTGTACAAGCTGAGCACTGGGTCGCAAGCCAAGCGATGTTGCTGTGTCCTATTCTCACTGCCACCGCCAGCTTTGACAATTTACCTCGTGTTTGTATTCCTTCTTCCTTCTACAGCGTTCGGTCCACAGTCCACATATCCACATACGCACACAATCCGGACATATAAATCACGATGCAGCCCATATTCATGGTCGTTCCAACATCTCTCCCACTGTCGATTGTCACACGAAATCATGCCGCTCAGCACGCTACCAGATAATGTCTCATCCCAAATCTTAGAGTCGTTTGAGAAGAACTCTCAGCAGCACCTTATTACAAATGACTTGGAGATCAGGACACGCAACATGGTCAAGTGCTTTGCGAACACCCCTGGCGCTCTCCCCCCACCAAGCACCACTGTCCGTAGCGTTTGGAATCTTACGCCTAACAACAAAGTTGACACGATGCCGATGCCGCCGCAAGGAGATGTTATCTTCTTTCGTGCGCCACCAACTACATTGGACACTACTTTCGCTGTCGTCAATAATCCTTCATCTCTCATACATGGGACTTGCACTTCTACTTCGCACACATGCAGCGTGGATGATGTTTCCTCGAACAATGTTGCTAAAGGTTATCAGCCTAAGGCGCAAAAAAAGTTCTCACTCGAAACCAATGGTCCTGAGGAAAACGCATTGCCTCGGAACGACCAGCACCATTCATGTCCCTCAGACGCCGAGAACAGTTGTGTCACGCAACCCGGCGAATCCCCAATCTTCGCGGGAGGCTTTGGAAAAATTGTTGATGCCAAAATGGAAGAACTCCGAGTTCATGGCTTGGCTTTCGTTGTCAAAAGTCTGCTGACCGATGGAGCGCAGAGCGTCCAGTCAGCGCCACTTGTTTCGATGGTAGTGCAAACCATGTTAGACAGGTTGGCGAAGGAATCGCCGAAACAGATGAAACGTCTCGAAACGGCCCTGCGCGTGAGCGCTATGGAGATGTTTCGCGTACACTGGAAACCAGTTGAGTCCTTCTCCGCTGATTGAGAAAACGGGAGTACTAAACGTTGCTCCCAGGACGGCGACTGGAAGAACATATGCTCCACATCTAGTCGACACTCTACCCTCACGCTGATAGGAGTAAACAAGGCTGGCCTTCTCGGATCACTCTTCTCTGCTAATGTCATGACAGCCGAAGACATCGCCCTTTGCTTGTCCATACTATTGGAGGACATACACTTTGACCGTCTGTGCGCCATGCACGCCCTCCTGTTATATGCAGACGACAGATTGTGCAAACAACGAAATCTGCCAGCATTGATTCAGCTCATAGAAAAGTTGCGCATTATCGATCCACTAACTGACTTGTATCTGTGGTGTCCTGTGCCACATTCCCAGGCCATCATGAAGGTAAGCATTAGAACTTGCTGTGGATGCAACTATGTCTAAGCAAATTTTTGTCAGGATATTCTTGATACTGTCGAAGGCTGGATGGCTATTCAAGCACACAAGCGCGAACAATGTCGTATTTTTGCAAAATCATACTTAACTCAGAAGCCTCCGAAGGTTGTAGGGCCACGAATGCCTGCAGATAGAATGACAAACAAAGCCTAACAATCGAGTTCTGGATGCTACCAACTAGGTTGCGCTCATGTATTGTAAATATATAACGTACTTTCATGTCCGTCTGTTCTCTTGATTCGACCAAGTTCATGTTTGTACACAAATGTTGAATTCAAAATCCTTTTCGTGTAGCAGGTGACATGTAAGCAGTTCATCTACGCCCCTCGAGCGACAAGAAATTGTTCCGGTATATCCGGATTCTCATAACTAGTGAGGGTAGGTACGGTGTATAATTCACTCTTGTCGTTCATCCGCAACTCACGTCGTACCTTGTGCTCTAGTTAAGAACGAAACAATCGTTTTGATGAGAAAGCAACTCACGTGCCAAACCCTTGTATCGCATCCAATCTGCGTCACTGTGGCAGGACATTGTTGGACAATGTACAGAGCATCTTTCATCATGGACCGCTCTTCCGTTTCATCTACTTCACGATAAAAATTGACATGAATCTCGCGGAGGTTACGAGCAACGGCGAAACAGCGGGTCACATCATCCTGACAGGTATGGATGGGAACCTCAATTCACAAAAAACACAAGCTGCGTACCAAATTATGCCGCGCGGTGACGACAAACAGTTGCTCTAAAACAGAACATCGGGAACATATGTCATGTAATGCACCCATACTAATGGACATCCGGTCAATAGAAAACCGCTTGAGGCGCGACCCGTGCATCGTGACAATGGTTCTCCAAAAATCGTCCGCGATAACCATTTTGGGAGTTGGCGTCGTGGCATAAATTTGTAATACTTCTAATGGCGCAGTGGATAGTAGTTCCGTTACATCACTCGTCCATGTCTGAAAGGGCGTCTCAATATGAACCGCCAAAGTGATTGATCTGAGACGCCTAAACGCCCGATGCTTCTTGCAGGTGCTGTTGAAACTGGTCATATCCTGCTCGATACAGTCAGCAGATGCGTAGTGACGGCGAAAGGTTGAAGACTCACAAACGCTGGGGAAAGCCTCTCGAGTCCGATACCCGTGAGGCCATTACGGTTGGCTGACACAATTTCACCAATGCCTCTATGTGTCACCTTTGGGCATCCAATAATAAATAATTGATCCAATTCAGTCATGCTAGGAGCGAGAGTTTCCAGCAAGGTATCAGTGATTAGGTTCGATGTCTACCAAAGAGAATGAGACAAATGAATTCATATCGCTCTGATCCTTGTCATACCTGGCAGATCAAAGTAAGGTTCCGAAGGGTTGGACCTGTAGCGGATATCCAGGAGGGAAGAACTTCAATAACTTGCGCGCTCGGCATTATGAGTGATATTCTAGACAGTTTAGAGAACTGTGTAAGTATGTTAGGATCATAGTATCCGCTGTCCTTTCCGTTGATCTCGAGTTCATTAAGTTGGGGACATTGCTGTAGAGCCAGGAGAATCGCTGATTCCAGCGAGCCATCTCGAGTCCAGGCACATGATCTCAGGTTGACACAATTCTGTATCCCTCTTGTGCAAAGATCCAGGAGGTCGCTGTATGACGAAGAAGAGAGTGCCTTTGGAAAGGCTCTTATCTCTGTATAACGGGGGTTAGTAACTGCGCTGGTTGGTATCATGAATTGGTGTGGGCTCACCGAGACGTGAAACGTATTGTGCAAGACGAGGACAATTCGAAAGTGTCTGGAACAGCAGAACGACCTATTCCGGATGTGAATAAACGGGGATTGTATACATCGCAATATAGTATCCACCTTTGACTTAGCCTTGTGCCATGCGTAGATGTAAATGCGCCGGTAGAGCCTTTGGATCGCAAATTCGTTGAATGATTTATTCACCAAACATAAGAATGCAAGGTGTTGAGCTCTGACTACAAAATCAAAGATTATAGGTAATAATTCGAGAGGGATGTCAACAAAGCTGAGGGCCATGGAACAAGCTGCAGTGGCAGTGCACCGGTGTATATTTCGTTATGTAAGAATTTGCTCTCATGCGATTGGAACGACGAGGACGAGACGCTGCGGTGCTAGGCGTAGTGTAGGGGGCACAAAGGAATTGGCCTCGTGGCAATTGGCAGAATGGCAGAAGTCGGAACAATATATTTCGAGCGCTTTCGACTATGGTTCTACTATGGCAAAAATAACTGACCGCTACATTGAGGATATACATTCTGATGTCAAAAGTGCATCGATATTCCACCCTGATGCACTCTCTGAGCCTCGATTGAGTCATCAATCTCTTCAATGAAGCCAGCTGGCATGCCAACTCTCTCTAGCTCACTCCAGTCGATGATGCCGCTGTCCGGAATGTCCGGTACATCACCTGTAAGATTCAAGCGCCTAACCAAACAACGATCAAGGACAGAGTGGTACAAATACAATATATTAACCCTTGCGACATACCCTCTTAGTGCTTGGAACTCGTTGCCACCGAAGCAATCTCAGGTTTCAATCTTTTATCCAGCGTGGACGCAGAACGAAACCGCGTTGATAAATCACACATCACCTCTTCAGCTTATGACCAAAGCAGAGATTGCATCAAGTAAATACAATGGAGCATAAACATCGACATCAACTTCATACAATACGCTTGTGGTGGTTTATATCTTATACTATGGCGCAATGTCGCCGACTATGGTAAAAGAACGCTGGTGATGGAGTGCCAGTGGGATGCACGATTCTCACTACAAAAATTTCTCCAGTGCTCAAACATGATGTAGCGACTTAGCCTCGATTGCCGAAACAGATCCTGTATACACAATTCAACGTTCAACACGCGAACGACTCGTTGGCCCGTATCTGTAACATGGTCAGACTGCCGCCTGCATAACCGTTACACCAAAAGGTGAAATACTGAAAGCTTAGCTTTCAGCATCAGCGACAGTGCATGTACTGATTATGGAAACTCAGGTAGGCCGGCGTGCTTACACCCTCCCACGTTATCAGATCTTTTTGTCCCAGAGCACCAACCTGTACGTAACTAAACATCAAATCTAAAAATTGATTGACAATCGTGAACTACAGACATATCTGGGACAACAAACTGGGGTTTTATATGCCACAAATACAGACAAAGTGCGCGTAGTGACAGTACCTCGGCGAAGCGGAGTATTAGAACTACGACATCTGAGCAATCTCGAAGTCCTACACTGGGTAGACCAACTAGGTACAGACTTGTTCGTCTCGTCGTCTGTGCAATTCCACAAGACATACAACGTTGGGCATGATTATGGATGTACTTTCTTCAGAGAAAACCCAAAGTCATACAGTCCACCCAATGCTTTAATTCGGAAGCTGGCAGGTATCACAAGTAACGAGATGGACGTGACTGGAAACGTACCAGTCATAAAACACATTCGAAGGAACAAACATGCTGTGATCAATTGTGCAGATGAAGATGTCCCTTGCATTAACTGTATCATCAAAAGGTAAATGTCCGAAGATGAGACTGACCATGATTAGAAGTATCGACCGACACGAGTTCTGGACTTAGGAGATCGCAAAATGAGACATAGTGAATGATGATTAAATTCCCCGCGAATAAAAATATTAGTTCGGAGCAAGGTCACAGCGAACCCCTAGTGATTGAATGTGAAAGTACGTAACGTGACGGCGCTTGATAGGAGGCATCAAGGAAGTGCCGGAATAACCAATTCTCGGCAATCGGGAATGCTATGTCGGAATGAACAATGAATATGCAATTACTGATTATTCCACATATATTGTCGTTACAACGTAATTACTTACCGATATTACTTGCTATTTGCTCAGGGGAGATCTACATACCCAGGGGGGTTCTTTCGTTTTCGTCATTCCACGCCAGTCTGACCCTGGTCAACTCGGAAGAAACTTCTGCTTCCGCGATAGGTGGGGATAGAAAGTCTCGATTGCCTTTCTTTATAGCGAGGTAGCCACGAACTTCTGCATGAGTGCGATCAGGGGCTTTGGGGCATGTTTTTTGGTCAATTAAATGTTTGAGGTGGTTGTCGTCACGGCCCTCAATGGATGCCGAGCAGTAGTTACATTTGAGAAAGTAGCAGTTTGAGTTGCTTTTGATTTTCTTCCCAGGAACAAAGCTGTCGGACACGACTTTTCGGACAGGACGGCCCTTGGGCTCTTGGGCCATGGTAATTGCCAACTTGCATAGCGAGATACATTCAAACAAATGTTACATGTTTATTGATTGTTAGTGAGAACAAATACCAGACCATCGTAGTTCTGCTGACTTCTGCCAACTACCCTCGACCTACTGCACTGAACTGCCCACTTCCCGGAGAGCCTGTTCGATCGCGGTGCGAGTAGCCTGGGACCAGTGCTTACTTCAATCTGCCAAGAGACAAGCCTGGGCCGGTGACTGCTCGCAAAGTCCCACAGGTGACATCATGCATTGTCACGTTTAGACACTTAATTTTGATTTGGGATCAACATGTCGTGAAACAAGTTAGTTGTTTATGTTATTTAATGTCCGAGGACCCAGCGACCCTTGGATAATCGAAGCCCAGCGTGCAGCAGAGCTTCGCGAGGCAAACCACGTTCTTGGCACACCCGCTGCAGTCGCCCGTCCCTCAAGATAAGGGTCTGTCAGCTGAAGAAAGAGGAACGCTGGGATGGCGGGGATGACAGGAGTTTCGAACCTGCGAAAGTTCTCGTCAGGGGGCTATCGCTACCCCAACTGTACCGACCTTCTCGTTCTCTTTAGGACAATACTACTGAGCCCATATACCTAGTGGGAGCACAGGCTCTGTCGCACAACTGCAAACAAGAAACGACGACCGGCCAGCTGCGTCCAGCAACCACGACCCACCGGCAGGGTTGAGTGAGGGTAGGAAGCTTCGTCTCGCCAAAGTCTCGCGGCCTTTAGCACGTCGAACCCCTAAACCTACATACCAAACCCGATTCGGCCGTTTCCGAACCAAACAGGCAATTTGGCGTCTCCGTGAAGAGACAATGCTGAAACTGTATGCTTGCAGTGAGACCGAGAAAGGCAGAATTCATGGTCAACTCACACAGACCACAAGCATATCTGTCAAACATCTGTCCATCCAAGTTCTCCGTGACCGTGCCTATCAGAAAATCTATCCGAAGTCTGTCGTTTGAATCCCCGGAATCTTGATGTGTCTAAAAATGCGACGTTGGCAATGATAGTCATCGCATTAACAAACAAGTGACCTGCGGGTGACTTGTTATCGGGCACCGGGTGGGAAAACATTCAGGCCCGCACAAAAACCCGGACTCGTGCGGGTCCGCTGGTTGACAGCATTAGGCGTTTAAACTTTGAGGACCCTAAAGGACCCTGACTTAAGTTAGCAATTTACTTAATTTTGTTTTTGAATGTTGAAAATGTCAAGTTCTTTCTTCAGACTACATATATGAGCCCGAGAAGGACAATTTAGGGCCACCAAACGACCGAATTGAAGCTCTTGTGGCTTTTTATTGTGTTGCATTCAACTGCTCATAAACGCGCCTGAGGCACCTGACACCCTTACTCATACTACTGAGTCAGTTCTCTGGCTTCTTTACTGTCGTAGCCAGGCCAAATAGGGGACCTACTGAGGCTCGTCGATTCATTGCTGTAAACGCGATGCGGAACTCTGAAAAGGAATGCATCTCAATCGTATCTCCACATTCCAGTGAAAACTTGTCATCTCGTACGAATTGTGAGTGGCACCTTTGAACGGACGTTTCAGCGACCTTGCTGACAGCCAGGAAGACTCCCGAACAAACTCTGGGTTGCTCGTTGCCACCCCCCCTTTGTTCAACCAGTCTCACTTTGACATTGTTCTTCGGCGGCAGCTTTCTCGTAAAGAAGGAAGACCCAAGTTTACGGCTGTTCCCTCGAGATTCCTGAACCTCACCAATGACTTTGAGTTTGCTGGCTGGGGTTCTATCTCTCATCTCACCCTTACACCTGAAGATATAGATCAGGGTGAAGTTGAACTGAATTTTTTCCGAGAGCAGCAGGTTCTTGGGCAGTTTACAGCCAGTGCTCTTGCTGCGAATGACATACTTGGCGGCGTGTTCTACACTCTGCCGAGCGTTGTCGCTGTCGGCGGTGTCTAGTGAGCTAATTTCGAAATAAATATACATTTGAACACGCCTAACTACTTTCAGTTCTCCTATTTCGCTATTTGTGGCAGCTTTAACATTATTCCTGTGGCGTCCTGTCATGGAAGAATTGGCTTCTGCTCTTCCGATTAGTGGGGCTCCTTATACCTACCTGTACGTTGTCTCTGCTTCTGAACAGAAATATTTGTGACACATTACCACCAGGCTCAATGTATCTACAAAATCTGTGGCTCTTTTTGGGGCAGCGCTCCTCCTTCTAGATTTTTCAGCCACAGTAGTAGTTTCGGCTGCAACCGCGGCATCATATCTTGCAGGCGAAGTCTCGCTACCCTTTCCAGTCTATGTCGGTGCCGTCCTTGTTTTCGTGCTATTCACTTTCGTCAGCCTTTCAGGCTTGAGAGAAAGTGCTCGCGTAGCAACTGGTATACTGGCGATGCACGTGAGCTCTGATGTTTCCTACTGTCTACCTACTTCTGATCATACGTGGGAGCAAGGCTGTGGTAATGATCATGCTTATTGTAGCTTCTGTCGTTGCTTGGGGGCGAGGCGGGATGGCGCAGCTCAGTTCCAACTGGTCGTTGAGGCACGTTGGATTATCTCCAGCAGCTATAGCCCGACAGGTGTTCAATGGCATATGTTTAGGGATGCTAGGGCTGACTGGATTTGAATGTGAGTATTTCAACCTGTCACACACAGTGTGTATAATACAGCTTAGGCGCACCCTCGTATACGTCAAGGATGAAGCAGAACTGTTATCCCAAAGTTCTCCGCAACTTGCATTTACCTGCACTTTTCCTCACTAGCGTTATGATGCTCCTTGTTTTGGCACTTATTGCCCCTCGACGTAGTTGAAAGTGGCAACAATACCCTTAGTTTGTTGGCTGAAATGGTGCGCACGCTTGCAATTTTCGATGACTATGCGTGACACTAAAGTGCATGGCCAGGTTGCAGGACGGTGGTTACGGATAATGGTCGTAGTTGACGCCGTTGTTGTACTTTGTGCGGGTGTACTTACAGGTTCGTGAACCAGAATTGCGCGTCATGATCCACACTCATGACGTATTTTTAGGAATTTTGAGCGCATGCGAGCTCCTTGTTAAGCTGTCATGCGATTGTGTCCTTCCTCGCGTATTCCTTGCTACAGTGCCAGCAACAGGCGCCCCTTATGTCACAGTCTTTTCATTCATTGCATTCAGCGCATTAATATATGCAAGCACGGGCGCAAACCTGGTTGTGATATCCCAGATGTGTGTTCTCAAATTCAGCAGTATCGGAAGACTCTGAGATTTAACAGGTTTACGATGGTGTGGTTGGCCGTTATGGCGCTCTTCCCTATCTGTCTCGTACTCCTCCGTTTCTCACGACCTCGACTTCCGCGTGCATCCCAATGTTCACTGTTTTTCGTTACTGGTGCTATCGGTGTCGCCGTGACCGTAGCGGCAGGCAACGTGGCCATCGATCCTACCATAGCAGGGTAAGGCGCCTCCATCTTGTCACGATATTTCGCTAAATCACTGCTTTAGATGGTTTGCTCTGTACCTCATCATCCTTCTCGTTCTGTTTTACATCTCGCAAAATCAGGTGACTATGCTGCGATGGATATACTGGGCGTATGACCAGCTTCCCTGGCTGCATAGACTGCGGCTTACCAAAGGGTGGGGTGACGGTCTGGCCCGGCGTATGAGAAGCCTGCGTAGGCGGGAGGTTTGTTTGCTTGTGAAAACCGATGAGGTACGCGCACCAAAGTAGAGGGTTAAGTTTACTAAAATAGTTCCTGAAGATCAACAACTTGTTCGACATGATTCTTTACGTCCGACGTAATGAAGAAACGTCATGTCTGAAGATAGTGCACTTTCATAGCGGAGACGTACCTTCCGAGATGGAGGCCAACGCGAAAAGTAACCATATCTTGCTATATTTCTGTCCGTAATCCTGACGGTGTGGTTTCGTAGTTCTGGACGAAGCGTTTCCTGAAATCACTGTTGATCTGGTGCGTGAACAATGGTCTTGCTTAGCACTTAACCTCTGACCTCCGGCAGATGTTTATTAAAGGTCAATTTGATCCAAAAAATCTAGCCGCCGTAGCGCACCATTTGAAAATTCCGCGGTCTCTCATGTTCATGAATAGCCCAGGTCCGAATTTTCAGTATCCTGTGGCAGAGCTTGGAACACGCATCATTTCGATCTGAGCATCATGCGCATCGCATTGACATTAAACTCGGTGCTGCGATAGGGCGCCGTCCTTTGACATTGAACACTTTCTTTTGATACTTGGGTTCGTCTGCCGCTGTATGGGCATAGTTTCTGATCTGGATCGCAGCACCATGAATATATTCGTGGATAATGTAGATAAGATATTTACGATATTTATAGAGCGCGTTATTGTGGGCGTTTTCTTAGCTACTCGTTAAGTTGAGTGCCATAGACCACCGCTCCTTTCCTTTACCACCACCACCACCCTCGAATGTATACACTGCCTCAGTCATGGGAACGCTGCCGTCAAGTGCCATAGTGATCAAGTTATAAATTGTTGCATTACGAAGTTGAGCTCGATTCGATGAAGCCACGTTCGTAAACTGCACGGGTGGAAACTTCCGACTGGGGGGCCAATCGGACAGGGCTGGAGTCGCACTTGGCGGTGGACTGACTCGCCGTTAGGTTCTGAGGAAGCATAGTTGAGATTGACAATGGTGCCTATGTCAATTCACGGACATCACCGCGCTAGGGTTGTTTGATGCAAGATAACGAACACAGCTAGCCTTGGAAGAACATTTTTAGAGGAGCTCATGGCGGGAGAAGGGAAAGCTGACATCCGCAATCTATCATTATCCTGCAGCCGAGATTTGGCCGAGATCGGATTGTTAGCGTTGGCAAAGATACCCTTTTGAAGCGCAAAGGCTTCTCAGTGAGAGTGCCAAGTTTCCCGCTATCAACGATGGCCCTGACACACTGAACAGCGGGTAAAACCTGGAAATGTGGCATTTTCATCAAGACAGCCTGTCATTGCAATTAGATAGACACTTGCCTATGGTGGAATGCCTCAAGAAGAACCGTTCTAGTCTGCAGTAGAAGAGATTTCCTCAGCGGTATTGCCACTGGGCTTCTTGAGAAGTACATGTTTAGCTGCCTAGGGGTTGACATTATGAGTCATTATGTCAACCCTTGGGCAGCTAACAAGTCCTCAGTTTAACAACGACTTCGCACCGGCCGGCGGGAACGGCGGATTGATGGGGGCACGCCCTACTAATCAATGCATTTGGGGTTTTGAGTCGGGCTTGGGACACGGGGCCCAAGACTAGATAGTATTGTCCTGCATAGAGTCTCAGTGTCGCTCTCAATGGACAAAAATTTGAAATAAAAAAAACGACTTCGCACGGACTCGGAGTTGTGGACATCATGGTCTATTGCATTTAAATTGTCAACAAGAAGTTATGTCAATGAGCAGTAAATACTACATACCGTTGTAGTGACCGGGTCATCTTTTTTTTATGGACTGTCTCTCTGAGGGTCTTGTCGCCGCCGTTTGTCGGGACCGTATCAGCATCCGGGTCATCGTCGTTTGGTTTTAATGGTTGTCGTGACGTATTTGGCTTTGACAGTCAACTTGCTTCAAGTACACTGTCAAGATACAAAACTCAAACAACTATACTAGCAACTTAATTTCCATCACAGAGATGTCGTTCGTGGCTGGCTCTCTCGCTGGTGCACTTGTGATGGGTGGTGTAAGTATTGTCGCCCAAATCAGCATTCGTCTAATGGACCCATTACTTTAGATTTACCATGGGTTTTCGAACTTGGTGCAAACCAGGTGAGCAACCATCCGTTTGCAAGAATTCAAGACAAGCCTGTTCATTATTCATATTACAGGACTGCCCAGCACCGTGCCGAGTTCGTTCATATCCCAGCTCTTTACCTCTAACCCCGACTTAACATGTTACACAGCATTCATATGCTCTCGGAGCGTATCGCTAACGCCTCGACTACAATTCCCTCTCCTCCGCCTGCATCCGTGCGTATAACGCATCATCCGTTAACATCGCTCATTCAGTCCAAATGGAACGATGAGGTTGCTGGTTTATTCGGAACTGCTTGGCGGTGGGAGCAGCGTGCAGTAGAGTTGGGGAAGAAAGTTCTGTATGGTGGCGACTCATGATACCAATTGCCCTTAGGCTAGGCATTAGACTAATCGAAAGGTGTCAGTTGTCCCTTCTAGGAATCTTGACGCCAGCAATTTGCTATGCACCGCAAACTACATACTGGCGACATGCGCCCCGCAGTCCATTATTTTGCATCCCAATTGCTTCCTTCCAAACGTGCACATTTCGGTTCTATCTACGTAAATTATCATCTTCCATACCCTTGATAATATTGTTGAGTATCACGGCCTTGTGAAGGTGGCGGAGGTGGAGGTTTGGTCTGGTACTGTGAACCCTGCTGGGTTGGCTGTGTCTGTGAAAGATATTGTCGCCATGACTGTGGCGGAAGCGGAGCTTGCTGGCCGTATGTCTGTGGACTCTGTGGATTCGTAGCGTACTGCGGTCGTGACGGAGGTGGCGGTGGTAAGAAAAAGGAAGACTGCCTTTGTGGCGAAGCAGAGTGCGTTTGCTGCTGTGGAACTGGAGGGGCGGCGCGTGGTGTAGAAAACTGGGATCCGAACGCCCCCAGGCTTGCATATGGATCGAATGGCGGGTTTGGCGATACTGGATTTGTGTATGCTGGGCGTGCGGGTTGTTGTGGAGGTGGCGGGAGATTCGAATATGTCTTGATTGGCTGGGGTGGAGGAGGCGGGAATATGGGGGAGTATGACGCCTGTGGCGGTTTTAGTGGGGGAGATATTGAATTCTGACTTCCTTGCAGGTTCATAGATGCGAAGGATGAGTCCAGAGATGGGGGAGAACGCGGCGGCGGTGGTAAGGGAGGTTTTTCAGCAGGTGTCTGGGGTACCGCAAGCCGCTGCTGGATGTCCGCTTGCCCAACAAGTCTGTCGCGTTCCGATCGACGGTCGGTGATAAAGGACTTAACACTAAGAGCAAGTGTAGCACTCAGTTCAGTAAGTTGTTGGTAGAACTGCAGTCCTTTCCTGAACCGAATTTCAGATACGATGAAAGGGGAAAAAGAGTACACATACGTTAACCCATCCCTGACCTCCATATATCCGTCTCTCGCATTTGAGAACCTGCGTACGGTATCCTTCTTCCGCCGCTCGCGCTCATCCCACTTCTTTGCGCCAGGTCCACGCCCAGCAAGGTCTCGTAAGTTCTTCCACAGTCCCTGAATTTCCTGCAACACGGTTTGCTGATTATGTACAGTGGTTCCAAGACGTTGTTGGTATGTCCGGAATTTCTCAAGTTCTGCGGCAAACAGCGATTGCTCGGCGCCAGGGTTACGGCGATTTAAAAGCAGCAGGTGCGAGACGTCGTCGGCTTGGATCTATGTGGGAAGAATGTTAGTTAAATCTAAATAATATTATTGTGCACATTACCTTGTCTTTTAGTTCTTTGAGCACTTCACCTCGCTCATACGCAATTTTCTTCAACCGTCCCAGGCGCTCCTCAATTTCGGTAGTATACTGTCTGATTCTGACTCGTTCCGTTTCATCGTGCGCCTCGACACCGATGTCAAGATCTAGCAGGCTTTCTGAAGGGGCATCACGCTGGGCGCTAGCGCGGAATACCTCTTCGACGTCAGATGATAGCAACAGTCGAATATCAGATTTGACCGATTCCCAGAGCATCGATACCTGTTGGTCGGACACGGCAGCAGCGTCTAGAGCGCCTATATGAGATTTTAAGTCCTGCCGAATAGGCTTCGTAAAAGATGCAGATGGTTCTTGTGTCCATAGGTGGTCGTACTTGACCCGCATCGTCTCGCACTCTCTCGATTCAACATCGAGATCCCGCGAGATACCGTCCAGCTCCACTTTGACAGCTTCCTTGAGACGAGCCATCTGTTGCAAAAGCGTGTCGATGCCCTCCCTGTCCTCCATGACGTTGATATCCTCTCGCCAACGGCGTACATCCAGGGGGATCTCTTCCTCTCCACCCAAGCTACCCTCAGCCATCGCCTTGAACCTCGCAAGTCCCGCCTGCACTCCCATTGCTTCCAGTGCACTGCGCACCTCAACCTCAGCGCTTTCTGCGTTCTCAACCTCTTTGCGTACAAGCTTTGCCTTCTCCTCAGAATACACGCTGGCGCTCTCGTGCACGCTCAATGGAATCAGCTTGACGAAAATATCCGCGCCTATAACATTCTGGACATCTGGTGCGCGATACACCTCTTGAATGGAAATAGGCGTTGCGACAACCGCTTTTTCGATAGCAGGCAGTGCGTCGGCAGATGGAAGGACAGCATTGTAGATGAGGTCGTTATCGCGCTGCGCTTCTGTCTTGCGGTCTGTGCTCAGCTGAAGCTGTACCTTTGTGCGTTCGGAGATGGAAGGTCCGGCATCTGCGGGAAGCGTAGGTGATACGTGGGCGAACAAAGCAGTGAAACTTGCAGCAGAACGATTGGCTTCTCTTGCTAGAGATTCAGCGAGGGTGAACCGTACGAGGGCCTCGCCGTAGGCCCCCGCTTTATTGTCAACTTGACCGCGATAGTACTGTGCGATAGAGCCAAAGTGTTTGGATTTTATCTGTACAATATGTCAATGCTAATCTCCTGCTTCGGGATATGAACATACCTGAATGAGAGTGATCCAATTGCGATCAAATATGCCCTTGCCCATGAAATCTTTTACCTCCTCGCTCAGTGAGGTGTACATGGAAGCAGACTGGGAGGCAATCTTGGCTACCAAAGTAGGTGCTTTCTTCTCGTCGATGCATTTTTCCAAAAATACTTCTGTAGCCTGCGCCATGATGACTCCCACCAGAAACTTGATCACCTCCCGGCTGAGGTCAGTCGAGGGGGCATGCAAGAAATTCTCGTTAATATATGTGAGCATGCCTGCGCATGTCCTAAAGTAGTAAAAGGCGAGTTTGAGTCCCTCTGGATCGGACCTGTTCTGGGAGGCAGCAATGGCGGAATGCGTAGCCGCGATCTGAAACAGAACTGAAGCCTTCTCATACGCAATAGCCGTCTGCGTAGTCAACTTATTCGTGAAAGCATCATTCCACGGGAAGTTGACGCGGATCTCGGGGAAGCGCATCTCTAGGATCTCGAGTTGCCCAAAGTACTTGTAGAGTAGATCACGACCTGGGAAGCAAAGTTGTGAGTACCCTAAGATTGTGATTGGTTGAACGACGAACCTGTCATATCGCTGCCTGCTCCCTTTACAGCGTCTTGCCTGCAGCGTTGCAAAGCTTGGCATTCCTGTGCATAATTGTCTGGGTTCTCGCCGAAGGACTTGGCAATGAGATTGCGTATGGGGCCTGTCCAATCAACATCCCCGGTCGTCTTCTTGGGGATCGCTATCATGGGCGACTGGTGCGCCATGTCTGAAAACTATACCTTGGTATTTGTCTAGATGTACACTCAGAACCTCCTGCAGCCCGCGGATCGTGTTAAGTAACTCCAGTAGGCTATGAAACTGCGCATATGACTTGCGGGATCCGGAAGTAGTTTCCGAATTCATGCAATAATGGATTGTTGGCCCCCACGAGAGGGGTTGCTTCCTTGCCGTTTCCGTCCGTCGTGGCAAGCTCGGGACCGTCATCTCATACCAAAGCCATGTCGTCTGAAAAAGCGTCATCAAGCGAGAACATTGTTAGCCAGAAGGTGTGTTTTTATAGTCAAACACAATGTTCGAAACTAATCGTTTTTCAAGTATGATAGGTGTCGTATGTGCTTTAACTATCTGAGTTGGAAGAGTCAACTGACCATGACCGCAAGTGGCCGATCTCTTGGTGAAGGCGTGAGTCTTGCCTCGTATTTGTAGCTGGTATGAATATCTGAGAATTGCGCAGTGGTGTAGGATTCAGCGTCGGGGTTGTTGCATCCGTCATTATTTTCCGAAGTTCGTGTCTTGCTTTATTTTCTCCACATATTCTAACCCGATACGTTACAGGACGAACATGGCCTATTGCCCTTTCAACAGGCTTCGGTATGGGTGCAGCATACGCAGACTGCGATCGCTCATTCAACCCCGCACGCGTCTCTGGAACACGTATAATATCTCAGACAGACGAGAGCAAATGATGTCGCTTGACACATTACTTGGTAGTATCGCGGAGGGCACTGCACTGAGGCAACAATATGATCGCGAGCCTCGAGGACTTGGCATTATTTTACATAGAGCGCCTTCGCACACCCTCCCACTTTCCATAGATCACCACGCAAATGTTCATTCTCCTTTTGACCAGCGTTCACTCCCGGCCTGGGAGTTTTCGGGTAGTAATTCATTGGTTGTAGAAGGGGGTTGTGGTGTCTCCCTCGGCAATGTTCTTCGAGGTTTTCCGAGCACAAGACGCTCGTAAAGCACGTCTGCGGTCAATTAAAGATGACATGAGTGACTGGAATGTTTGTAATATTGAAGAACGACGAACACGCTGTTGCTGCCATAATGGGAACCGTGACGATGACGGTGCGGAGCCTGCGAGCTTGAGGAGGCAGCTTCTGTGCCATTGTTCAACCCTCAGAATGTAGTAGTACCGCTTCAGTAGTTACGAAACTTGAGCACTTATTGAGCACCCAGTTTCTACTTGTCCACAAGGAAATGGTAACGTGAAGTCGTTCCACGAGGAGATCTCCGGGGTCCTCACCATTTGAACAGGGTGTCCAGAGTCCCTAGACATGCTAACCCTCTGTCGTTGGCAGTGGATACCACGTCCATTCTACGCTTTTCTACGTGAGCATTATGGCTTATGTCGCTGTCGACGCGGACGACGTGAGTGGCATGGTTCTTCTGCTTTAGTGTTAAATAAGAGTTAATGGTTCATAGCGTCTCGAAGAAGGACCAGAGGGTCTCGAGTTCAAATGTGAGCGCGTTTGCCTTGAAGTGCGTGATTAAACATTCAGCCCAAGCAGCTTTCCTTGGAGCAGACGCAAGAGCAGATCAACGAACCCAATCCGGGGCTTCAAACCTTGACCGAGGTACATCGAGAACCCCGCCGTATCTCCTCCCCTAACGTGTACCCAATTACAGGATATCTTACAGATCACACCACGCACAAAGGTCCATCTGGGTTCTGGACAGTCGAATACTATCAGCCATACTTTGACGTTGACACCTCAACCGTCTTAAAGCGATGCTATACGACCCTCCTCCCCACTTCACCCTCGTACCTGACGATTCTTACACCCAGCGCTGACCTATATGGCCCTTTCTGGATCCCAACCACGCTTATACTGGCGTTATTCCTATCTTCGTCCCTCGCAGCAAGCATCTCGTCTTACCTCTCTGATGCAGGAGCTGCGTATGAATATGACTTTGGCCTCCTTGGTCTGGCAACAACGATCGTGTATATATACACGTTTGCAGTACCGGTTCTTCTGTGGCTCACACTACGTTACATCGGGGTTGGTGAATGGGGCGTAGCGGAAGCACTTGGGGTCTGGGGTTACTCATTATTTGTCTGGATACCGGTTTCGGTGAGTACACGAATGTCTCAACTTACATGCACCGTTTTTGAGTAATTGTTGTCTTGTAGATACTATGCGTCATACCCGTCTCTATTTTACGTTGGGTTCTGGTGGGCATCGCGTTCTGCTTATCAGGGTACTTCCTGGTAACGAACGTGTACCCAATATTGGCGATGGTATGGTCATATCCCTCACCTAATCCTAATTATTAACAACTCTCTTAGGCCGATGCAAAAGCCACTCGCCTACTGATAGTCGTAGTCGGCGCACTACATGCTGGGTTAGCGCTAACATTCAAGGTGTTGTTCTTCAGCTACTACGTTGTGCACGATATTGGGCCTGGAGCAGACCCCGTACGGAGGTTTCTATAAAATGCAGTTGCACTGGTCTTTGATCGGATTAGTTTCACAATGCATAGTTTTCAGTTTCACAAATGTCGTGAAACGACAAAAAGCAGACCACAATGACAACGGCCGTCACGATTCGATATTCGATGTATTCAGTGCCAACTCCGCCACGCATTCACGAAAGAATACATTCACCAGGAAATGGAGAACGCATTGTAAACGGCATCGATAACATTGACGTCATACAAGCGTATAAGCATTTGAGGGGGTTTTAAGGTTTGCGGAATAGTTAGCTCGCGGGGTTTGCAATTTCAGAGAGGTAGATTCCATCGAGCTTGCCCCAGATACATTTTCCTGTGTTCCACGAATAGCGATTTCACCTCAAGCTATGGGTATCTCCAAGTAAGAGTTTGAATATCCGGGGCGTCAACATACATCATCCAATATATAGGAGCGTGTAGAAAATCATGAACGCATCATAATGTCGGCAGGGGTGACATGTGGGAAATGACAACGATCCAACGTCGAGATTTTAAGTGGTATGACGTGCTGCCGCCTCCTGCGCCGCTTCCGCCCAATCCCCCTCGCGTACACCGAATTCAACCGCCAGTACAGTCTTGTTGAAGTGCATCATAGTCAGTCCATAGGGTTCACGAATGCGTGACTCCCAGCCTTCTGGGATACGCTCGTGGAGAACAATACTGCGCAGGTCATCCACACGACCTCCAAAGATTGTGAGCAGTGTCGAGGAACTGATGTAAACGTTGAGTGTTTGCTTGAAAATGGATGATATAATGACACATACTTGGAACTACCGAAGATTTTGTGGAAGAAGCTGAGGGAAAACTCCTTGTTTACTGCACGCGCTACTGCGCGACGCTTGCCGAGAATCCTGGAGAGATCTCTGGAGGTAAGGATATTATTGTCATTCTTGTCCTTGCCGGTCGACGACGCGAGTAACTCCTCGATAAAGGGTATGTGTTTCATCGATTGGTTTGCTTCAAGGGCAGTGTCAAGACCTAAAGACAATTTATTCGACATGCGAAAGCCAGACAAGTATGGTAAATCACTCACGGAAGAGGGATGCATCATGTTCGATACCGTTGTGCAGGTCGAGTTCTTCCAAGTCAAAGGTATCTTTACTGTAGCTTCTCTTGAGCATGCGAGCGGCAAAATGGGGCACATAAGAGCAGAAGGAAGGACCGAAATTGTAAGTTGCCCGGATCTGGTGGTTAAGGTCGACAAATGAGATATCGCGGCCGCTCCGCGAGAGGATGCCTGCGTTTCAAGGTAAGAAATTTATGAACCTTAAAACGTGTGGGATCAAGACTAACCGTGATTGGCCATCGCATTGAGTGCTGGGCATGAGCAACGGGAGTCACCTTCCTGAGGAGGCCTAAACTCGGGCCAGAGCCCTCCATAGCCTGGGTGGCCCTCAGGCGTAACGTGCCCGATACGGCGCTTCCTCCTCACGAGATTGAGGAGTGTGAGGAGCACATCCCAAGACAAGATACCAGCATCGAAGAAAACGTGAGACACGCTGGAGAAGAAGCCCATTTTGCTCTACTTGCACCAAGGACACAGATCTGAGCTCGGGTGGAATCGATATCCAGCTTCTTTGCTAGCAGGACGCCCAAGCGCCATGACAGTGGTCTTATAACCATGGTCTGACAAGGTTACGTACTATGAGTCGAAGAGGTGGTGCCTCAAGGTAAGCTTCTTGGCACCGCTATTATGTCCTTTTTACCCACTCCCGGAGGATCACACAGGGTAATATTATCACAATGCGCCTACATTTGGTCTCTCTGATAAGGCCTCGAGGCCCGTGATCGATCTAATGGAAGAAATCCGAGCGCTTAACAGGCCCGATATATCAATAATCCATACAGCGGTACAACAGCGGGGGGCTATTCGGCAGGAGGCTTACCGTCCTCGCCTCTTTACATAGCCGGTGAAAGAAGTAAAGTAACAAAAGCTGCTCACTATCGAACCTTCATTTCTGCGAACCGAAGAACTTCGGGTAACACGAAACGCGGCCGCCGGGATGTCACTCTTTCGCAAAGGCAGGCGCCTGCACAGTCGGCACTCATGCACATGTCCCATCCATGGAAAAGTTTAGTTAATAGGCTATATATATCGTAGTCACGAGACGGACCCAAACTATTAGCTATCCATAAGTAGACTAGCAAGCTGTTACTTTGCGCGCTCTTTCTTCCCTGTAAGCCCAGGATACCTTTTGTTCACTCATCCCGACTCCCACGATAGTGGACGGCATGTGGCTTCAAGCTCCAAGCGTTGATTCCCAATCTGCAATACTCTTGTTCAAGCTGCCGCAGAAACTCATCACATGTCACCATCCAGTAATCCACCCAGTGAAGTTCAAATCCTCTATATATGGAGACCCATCCCAGGACGGCACTTGGCACGGGTTAACCTTAAGCTTACTTAACATATTGCTTGTCCTTATATATATATGAGGTGTGTTCTTGATCTGAGATGCGACACATACTATGATCCTCCCAATAACTGATGCATGTGTGTTCATGTAAGAACTTTGTTAATATGCCCACTTGCATGTAAGTATGGGGAACAGAGTTGCTTGAGTGGAGTTTGGAGCATGTCCATCACATGAAGCTCCAAATGCAACTCAGGCCTTCTGTGATACTTGACGGCAGGGATGTTCTGTCACACAGCAATGCCAAAGTGTGAAAGATCCGAAATTTCGAGGTTTCTGCTTCCCCCCGGGAGACACATATGCATCGTGTGATAGGCCAAACCAGAAGCACAGCACGCACAGCTCAGGATTTAGAACCATGTAGAATGAAATTCACGGTATTTACCAGACAGTGTCTGCTTACCACACGAACTAGAAGTCCGGAGATAGGAGTTCGTCGTGTTGTAATGTTTGAGGTTTCGGTTTGATCCGGCTTACTTGCCAACCATTCGTATGTTCAAGCAGGTTCAGGTCCCCGAGCCTCATTGTTGAGGCAGATTGTAATGCTGTGGTGGCGATCTAAACGGCTATCGTAGCACATCCGGGTCCGATAAGTAGTGCCTTGAGCTCCGCAAGGAGTACACCAATGACGTATCCAAAGTTGACCGATCACCACTCGCCATGAAGGAAAGCGGCCACGGATGGTATAGTACAAAGTCTAACCCCCTGTCACTCAACCCTGGAAGGCGTGCATTAGACACGGAGGCAGGAGCTCACAAGTATCCTAGATATTAGCCAATTAGCCGAGAACGCTGACGTGCTCGAGGTAGGCCGCAGCACACAGGAGAACTTCGACTTCACCTTCAAGCTCTTCGTGTTGATATGCACAACAAGTTTCCATTCGGAACGGTGATTAGTGAGTCATGATTGCTCGGACCTCGAGTCGAAGTGACACAATATTGGGGAACCGAGGAATTTAAGAGGGGTAGCATATTCCTTTTCAGTGCATATTTGCACGTTCTCGTTGAATCGTCTTCTCGAACGCCCGTAAGTTATGAATGACGACCGGAAAACTTTCCGAGGAAAAGCTGAAGTCATCACCAGGCGTGAAGAAGAATTCATTTTCATGAACAGACTATCACATAACAGGAGGCTTCGGCAATGAATAGACCTGGTTAAGATGACCCCCGAGGATCTATACACCACAAAAATGTTGTCAACAGGTTTCGAACCGACTCCAAGAAACAGATTTTGATTCTGTTGTGGCAACCGCTAGGGAACCACTCAATTAAGATCAATTAGACGGACCTCCGAGGAAACCATCCATGAGTCAATGTCAAGGTGTGTTCCGATGGGAAAAAAAACCTGTCGTTCGGCAGGTTTTGGGCCTGCATAGTCCAGGAGAAACAGATTTTGATTCCGTTGCGGTAGTACCACTTGGCTAAGACCAGTTAAGATGAACCTGCAAGGAAATCATCCATGAATGAATTTTCAAGGAGCGTTCCGATAGAAGAAAAACCTTGTCGTCGACAGGTTTTGAACCTGCACTGGCACAGTCCGAGAGACAGATTTAGATTCTGTTGTCGGGACGACTTTGGCCAGGATGGAGTTGACATGAACCTCCGAGGGGCGCCGAGAAACCATCCATGAACGAATCTTTAAGGCGTTTTCCGATAGAAAAAAAACCTGTCGTTCGGCAAGTTTCGAACCTGCACAGTCCCACAGAAACAGATTTCGATTCTGTTGTGGTACCACTTGGCTAAGACCAGTTAGATGAACTGTCGACGAAACCATCCATGAGCGAATCTTTGGAAGGTGCTGCATAGCCTAGGAGAAACAGATTTTGATTCCGTTGCGGTAGTACCACCTGTTATAAGACCAGTTAAGATGGGCCTCCAAGGAAACCATCCATGAGTGAATTTTCAGGGAGTGTTCCGATAGAAAAAAAAAACCTTATCGTCAGCAGGTTTCGAACCTGCACTAGCACAGTCCAAGAGACAGATTTAGATTCTGTTGTTGGGACCACTTTGGAGTTGACATAAGCCTCCGAAGAAATCAACCATGAACGAATCTTTAAGGCGGGTTCCGATAGAAAAAAAGCATGTCATTCGGCGAGTTTCGAACCTGCACATTCCCACAGAAACAGATTTTGATTCTGTTGTGGTACCACTTGACTAAGACCAATTAGATGAACCTTTGACGAAACCATCCACGAGCGAATGTCAAGGTGTGTTCCGAGAGAGAAAAAACCTTGTCGTCGGCAGGTTTCGAACCTACCCTGCGGGCCCTACCAGGACAAACAGATTTCGATTCTGTTGCGGTAATCACTTCGGCCAGGACGTTTCGTGCAAGTTGCAATCAACCTCCCAAGAACTGTCCATGAGTGAATATCAAGGTATGATAAGACATTTGTCGGCAGGTTTTGATCCCGCACCACCCAAGATTTCTGTTCTGGTGCCGGTTGGCTGGACTACTTAGGATAGACCTCGAATTCGAAGGATCCACCCATGAGTGAATGTTCAAGCTTCAAGGCGTGGTAAAAGGAAAAGATTGTTGAGCAGGCTGTAACACATTACAGCTGATTCCGAAACTATGCGGAATCGCAAAATCAAAACTTGAGCGTCGAAAACGGCCGAACAAGGACCCCGTAAGCATACTGTGAGATTTGCGCTGCGCAGCGTCTGTGTCGTTCATTAATGCCGCCACGCACTGTTTCGAACGATCTAAAGGCTCGAATCCCTGTTCTCCGTCGACATGGGTACTCCGTTAAACATATCTGCCATCTGCTTGGAGTAAAAAAGACTCTTGTGTACAAGGTTTTACAGCTCTGTCCCTTGACTTGGAGTTTACAGCACTCTTGTATCCACAGCAAGCATACAGGCTGGCGTCACACCCTCACCATTGATGACATTGCCTTCATCACTGCCATTCTTCATCACCACCCTACTATTTATCTCGATGAGCTACAGCATGAATTGCACTCTTGCCGTGGTGTGCTTGTGTCTCTGCAAACACTTCTTTGCACATTTTTGTGGTTGCATTTCAAGCGCAAATGCATTTCCGCTTATGCTCTCAAACAGAACGAAGAAAAACGTGCTATTTTTATGAATAGTATTGCTAACATTGCACCTGACCCTGAAATGTTGATGTTCAGTGATGAGGCTGCGAAAGATGAGAGAACCCTCATTCAATGCTATGGCAGATCAAGGATTGGAATGAGGTATGTCAAATTTTACTGTGATTGACATGCAATGACCAGTCTAAATCAGATGCATCCAAAGGAAGTGTTTTGTACAAGGCAAATGCTACTTGATCTTGCCAATACTGACTCTTGATGGAATCATTACTTATGATATCATTGAGGGACCAGTGATGAGTGAGTGATTTATACAATTCTTGTGCAAGCATGTGGTAAGGTTTCGTTTATATGACTTGGATCAGAATTTGACTTGTCGTTTGCAGCTGCCTTTAACCAACCCATATCTAGGGCCATGTAGTGTCTTGGTTTTAGACAATTGCCACATTCACCATAGTGACAAGGTCTGTTGTCTCATTGAGGAAGAAGCTCTATGCAGGCTCGTATTTCTGCCTCCATATTCACCTGACTACAATCCTATTGAGCAAGCCTTTTCTGCTATCAAAGCATATTTATGACGTCATTTTGATGACAAGGGTTTAACAAGCATGGTATGAGCATGTCAAGCCATCACACCTGATAAGGCAGAAGGTTATTTTCGAGCTTCAGGGTATATTGCCTAGCTATTCTACTGATTCATAGTGCTACTTCTAAATAAAAGGATCTTCTGCATTTGCATAATCACCCTCTGACTCGAAGGTGAACCCAGGAAGAAAGATAACCCAACTTTTCCTGTTTTTGCAGAAGTAGTAAAGGTCATAGTCCAAAATTGTTCACTCCGCTAATGACTTGTCAGCATACACAATGATTGGGATATAGCCACACACCTGGTGGACACTCATCAGGCTTCATACAACTTCCACTGATGCAAGCTCATCCCCCATCATGGTATCTCTTCTCATACTGGAATTTCTTGTACTTGGGAATGTCTGACTCAGTTGTATCACTCCATTGATGCTTCGCACTACTCTTTGCAAGAGGCCCATTCCACCATGTAACACTGCCTTTCTTCAGCTGAATAATGTCACCTGCACTAAGACCAACTCAAGCAAGATCTTGGCCAGCCATGTCCACAAGTATATCTGGACCTGCACCAATGCCATGCAGAGAGGCTTCATATGTTGAGGCAAATGCAACACTGAGGTGGTCTTTAGCATGCTTCAAAAAATGAGTGAGTGTCAAGGGTGTTGGAGCAACAGGTGACATGACAGGGAGTGATGTCACAGTTTGAACAGGAACTGGTGTCAAAGGGGTAGCCTCGCATGTGAGATCTCACACAGTTCATAACAAGAGCATAGATGTGAGTGAACTGATGTCAGTTGTACTAACTGGTGTAGCTGCAGGTGTTGCAGTAGGAGCAGTCGCAAAACGTCACATTGGATGCAAAGCAGGCTTACACTTCATGGGATCAAAGGATGGGATATTGGGTGGTACTGTGGTGGTAGCCTCTCCATCGTACTTGATTTTCAGTATTAGTAATCATTATAATTTTCAGATGTCAATCAGAAACATACCATTGCACAAGCCCAGTCCTTGATCATTGCTGGTGTACATGGGATTTCCATGCCACTTTGGTGGATGTATGTGACTGAATTATCATACTCGTTACCCCATTTCTTGATGATAAGCCTATGAAAACAAGCAATTTCTCAGTTGAGCTCTGTAGCACCATCCACAACTGCAATTTCGTCATTATCTGATGCTCCACTGCCATCTTGGCTTGCAGTGTCACCCACAGTCTGTCCTCATCAGCCACAACAATAACACAATCAATTCTCGCTGCAACATACCTCATTTCGAGTCAAAGCTGGAAGTTTCTCCACATTTTTCATGTCAACAAATATTTTCACCTTTGGAGGCTCTTCGGAGATGAGTTTCTTTGCCATTTCTGCATAATCAGCTTGGTTGTCGACATTCATTGCTTCAGCATGTCTATAAACAACCACTGTGAGATAAGTTTAATTTCTATGAATAATACAAAGATCACTCGCCCACGAGAGTTGCCAAGGAGGTACTTGAAAGTGTATTTTTTCCTCTCAGTGATCCTATAGTGTGATTTGTTGTGCTTCATGAGAATTGTTGTCAGAAATTTGATGTAGTTGGACTCAGAGACTTGAAAGACCAGTTCCTTGACTTTTGTAGATTTCACTTCCTTGGTTTTTGCTTTGCCATTATTTTCAGTAGTAGTCTTGGTGTATGTATCAAGGTAAATAATGAATGTTGCTGTGAATCCAGGTGTCTCTGGGGAGGAATCTGATGGCGATGACATCGTCTTTCAGCAAATTGCATATACTACACTAGCGCTACTACAAATCTCGCAGTCATGTGCTTACGGGGTCCTTGTTCGGCCATTTCCGACGCTCAAGTTTTGATTTTGCGATTCCGCATAGTTTCGGAATCAGCTGTAATATGTCCTGTCACGCTTACCACTTGGCTTAGCTTGCTAAGACTGGTCAAGATGGACGTCTGTAGTACGACTCCCGAATCGAAAAATTGACGGTAAAATCACATAAGATTAGCAGTCATTTGCCAACGCAAAATGAAATAAAAGACTAGTTTCAATGGACACAAGACATGCCAGGAATAAGCAAGTCGGGGGTTGACGCCGGCGCCATCATGATATTCAAGTTGCCATTAATTATTAATTCTCACGGGGTCAAAACGCACAGCCACAATTATGAACTTTGTGGTACAAGGTAATAGGTTGAACGTATGAAAAGGAGTGGCAATGCTTGGAATTCAGCAAAAATGATTACAGTAAACTGTATATTCGACTGGTATTCTTCTAATGGTCATATCGATCATGCCGAATTTGATCAGTCTACGAGAACAGTTTCTTGTACGACTTCTTCTCCCTCTCTCTTTTTCCTTCTTCTTCTGCCTCACTTTCGCGAGCTCCCCCAGGATCGCTGGGTCTTCAGGTGCAAGCTGACTAGCAGCAACAAGATCCGCTTCAGCTTCGTCTTCCTGCTTCAGAATTACATGTGCTGACGCCCTACGATAAAGGGCCTTGGCTTTATCTGGGCTGCTCAGCTGCAGACGGTCCAAAGCTCGCGTGGTATTCTTTACCGCAGTTTCGGTGGCTGCTGGTTGCGTGCGTAGCGCAGCAAGTGCCGAGTTCAATAAAAGGGGTGCAAGAAGCGATTCATAAGAGTCCTTAAGCTCCGGTGGAGAGTTTTCCGGTAATACGGGATGCACATCTAGGTACCTTATCGATTCTGACATTTTGTTAATAACGTTGGCGAGAAATGTTTGTAGGATTACTCACTGAGGTACGTTTTGAGTGCAAGTTCAATTTGCCCATCCTTGAAGAGCTTGTTACCGAGCTCGCGGATTTTACGTGCAATATCCAGCGCAACCTCGGGATTCTGCACATCGGAATCGTCGTCTTCGGGGTAGTCCTCGTAGTCGTCACCAACAGTTGTCTCGGAAGCCACCAGGGAAGGGTCATCCGGTGAGAGAACGCCACAAGCAGATACAACGATGGGGGAAGTGGGAACATCTCCAGACGCAGTAGGGAAGTTTTCGATTGTACGGACTATGCATAGCATGGTAAGCAAATCATGGAAAAAAAGGAAGACAGGCGCTTGGGCAATATATCATACCTATTGACTTGCCCTTGATTACTTCACCGAAAACTACGTGCTTGTCATCAAGATGGGGTGTTTGGCTCACGGTGATAAAGAATTGCGAGCCATTAGTGTCTTTTCCTGCATTTGCCTGAGAAGTCGATTAAAATCACTCTCCTAAATGAAAACTGAGGGGGAATTCTACCATAGACAGTAAGAAAGGTTTCGTGTGTTTCACGGGGAACGCCTCATCTTCAAATCTTTCCCCGTAAATTGATTCCCCTCCGGTGCCTATGTAGACAATGAGTTTGTAATATCCAGACGTAGTTCTAGGACTCACCGTTGCCCGCCGTGAAGTCACCGCCTTGACACATGAACCTAATTCATTGTATTAGTCTTCATTGTGACCTGAGGTGAAGGCTCCTACCCCTTGATTACGCGGTGAAAGCCAGATCCAGCGAAGCAAAGAGGTTTGCCAGACTTTCCGACACCCTTTTCACCCGTACACAATGCACCTGGAAACATTAAAACTCTGACGCGATTGACCAAGCATCTGAGAACTCACGAAAGTTTTCAGCTGTCTTGGGTACCAAGTCCGCATATAGCGAGAATACGATACGCCCAGTGGGCTTACCGCCGATGGTGATATCAAAATAAGCGATGGGGCGCTCTGCAGGTGCTTTAGACATGTCGCGCTTAATGGCAAACAAACGAATTCAAGAACAGTCAGTAGGGATTCAACAGCGCTTGTAAGTCACGAGTTATAACAGATCGGATGCTGTAAGAGTGACGAACAGTTGTTTCTGGCAGTTTCGAGAACCATCATGATATCGATGCGGCCGATATGATCACGACCCATCAATTTATAATTTTTGCTAGTGAAGCAAGTCCAAAAGCTAGCTGCATTCTACGGATGACTTCTAGTAGATGCCATTCGACCTACGAGCGCAGTTCAACTCGCATATTTTCTACGTTCAGTGGTTCGAGATCAGATTATAATCCCGTCGAGAATCCAATCAGTGTGTCACGGTGCAGTGACAATGAACCAGAGTGACGCACGTGCGTCAACTTACTAACCTGAAGTTGACCGACTCTTTGAAATTTCATGCACATGCCATCACAGTATAGAGGCTGGCGATGCTACAGACCTTGTGCGAGAGTTTAAGCAATACAGTGCGTGTCATCCCGCTTATAAGTTATACTTATCTTCGACTCTTCAAATTTCACACTTTACATGCACAGTTCACAACTTGAATCCGACTTATTTCCAAAATGCAGAGCTGAAACCTAGCTTGCTTTTGCATAGATCTTGAATGCAGTCCGTCCTTCAAACCTCATTGGTTCCTTGCGCATACTGGAAGGTCCTCGGAATGAGGACAGTGTTTTACTTGATGCATGTCCACAAGGGACAGGTATGGACAGGTCAACTGATCAGGTCGATGCCTAAAAATATGCTTTACTATAAAGTTCGTGACTTAAGACTGGCGTGGTTCGCATGCTTCAAAGGGTTTCAGCTCCCAGGCACTAGCAATACAGACTCTTATCTTCCGCAACAGCGAACTTTTGCTTCTACTTGAATTTGATGACTTTCAAGGCGTCCAGTGTCACTTTGCCTGATCTTTACGAGGCCTCAATTGTAGAACTTCAAGATGGTCTGGTCAAAGGACACTTCACTAGTGTTCAACTTGTCAAGGTAGACCCCTGCTCCATACACATCTGATGCAGTGTCTAATCAGCCACAGGCTTACTTTGGCAGGATCGAAGAAGTCAACTTGAAGGGTCCTGCATTACATGCAGTCATCGAGACCAATCCAATAGCCTTATCACAAGCTGCAGCCCTCGACAGTGAACGGAAAGACAAAGGCGGCCGCGGGCCATTACACGGAATACCATTATTGTTGAAAGATAACATTGCTACGCTGCACGAAGAAGGTGAGATTCTCTGCATTACATGTGTACATGCTATACTTGTGTTATACCAATAAATTGATGTCCGGATGAGGAATGAACACGACCGCAGGTACATTCTATGCTATTGTCTGCCATTTTGCAGATCACAGCTTTTGGATGTATCCTAGGCTCCTGCGCACTACTGGGTTCTGTCGTTCCTCGAGACGCGTTTGCTGCTGCAAAATTACGTGAAGCTGGGGCTATATTCGTAGGAAAAGCGAACCTCTCCGAGTGGTCTGGTATGAGGGGCGAGTGGGGTCATTTAAAGGGACAGGTTCCCAATGGCTTGTCGGAACGTGGGGGACAAACTCTTTCCCCCTACTACCCGAATGCACATCCATCTTCTTCGAGCTCCGGAAGTGGCGTTGCAATGGCTGTTGGTCTAGCAGCCGGGTCCCTTGGCTCTATCGTCTATCCAAGTAGCAGGAATAATGTTGTGGGCATCAAGCCCACTATCGGGCTGGTATCTCGCTCAGGCGGTAAGGTTTCTAGCGATGGCTTTTCCGATTCCCTATCTGATGATGAACGCCAGTAATACCAATCTCATCTCATCAAGATACTGTTGGCCCGATGTGTCGCTCTGTCACTGACGCTGCCCTATTGTTGAATTTCATCGCTGGGCCTGATCCTCGAGATGAAGTTACTTTACACCAGCCAGGGATAGTCCCAGACTATATGAAAGCACTCGACAAAAATGCCCTTAAAGGCGCTCGTCTTGGAGTGCCTCGTTCCTTCATCCGCAATATCAAGATAATTGAAGAGGCGTTTAACTCATCTCTTGACGTCTTCCGAGCTTTGGGCGCGGAAATCGTCGACCCTGCAGACTTCCCGGATACAAAAGAGCTACTGACATCGAAGGCAGAGAAGCGGGTACTGGACGTAGACTTCAGAGTTGATCTTAACAAGTACCTATCAGAACTTGTCGACGTTCCGACAGGCGTCAAGACTCTCGCTGCTCTGATAGAGTACAACAAGAAACGCGCAGACCTAGGTCTTCCACCACCATTCTATAAAGATCAATCGCAGTATGTCGGCTCATATCTCATACGCGATATGCTTTTTAACAGGATATCTAGATTTATCCAATCGGAAGCTGCACAAGTTGATGATGCCTACTTTTCAGCACTAGCCGAAGATTTCGACTTGGGACGCACGAGAGGAATTGACGCCACTCTGGCCCAGTTTAATCTCGATGCTATACTTCTACCGACCGATGGACATGCACCGGGACCTGCAGCAATTGCAGGGTATCCGTTGATTTCAGGCTAGTACTTCTGACTGCGATCTTAACGCTACTTAATGTTATTCGGTATTTAGTGCCCCTCGGATTTCAGCCAGATGACGTTGAATTACTGCCTACGATGGCATCCTCAGTTTATACGCAAGCCCCAGGACTTCCGTTTGGAATTGTCTTTATGGGAACCGCGTATAGCGAGTTTAAGCTCATCGGCTATGCGTATGCGTTTGAGCAGGCTACCCACGTGAGACTTCAGAGAAGGGCCTATGACGACGCGATTCCTAGAACCCAATTAACGGACGTTATGTCCCAGCTGTGAACGTGGCTTTAATATCGCACACTTCCATATGCATCAAATAAGCGAGCTACCTTGGATGGATGGATTCTGGACATCGATGCACAATCCATGTTTTACTAGAAATATTAGTTTCACTGTCTACTTAGTGTCTGAAGCACTGGCTTAGGCGCAGCGACTTTGAAAAGAACCGCCATTTCCTCGCTCCTTCCCAACTTTTTATTACGTTTCGCTGATCACCACCCACCACTCCCAAGTGAGCAAGCACCTCAATATATCCTTGCAACACATGCTGACCACACACGCCAGAACAATGCTGGTGAGAAGATCTTGCGCATGTAAATGGCAACTTGAAAACTTAAAGCATTCAAACCAGTGCTCGTATACCTCGAACGTCGGATCCATACGTGGTGTCGATAGCTCTTATTCCGTGACTCGCAAAAGCAGCTTTGTGTTTTCACTGATTCCCCATGTGCCATTACAGCCTGGGGATATTATTGGCCATGGACCAGAGATATGTATGTGGGACTCGAAACTGTGCCTCAATATACCTCAAGGCTCTTGCTTCTGCATTGGCTGCTGGCACTTTCCTGCGATGAAGACCGTTCTGGATCTCTCTACTCTGCCAACTCTTGATTCCCTGGCGTCACCAAAGCCATTGTCGAGGTAGCTTCTCCTATAGAAGAGGCCAACAAATGGTTCGGTGCCTTTGGTGAGGCTGTTCGCACGAGTGACATAGCTTCAACTGTCGACTTTTTCCACGAAACGGGATCCTCGAGAGAAGTTGTCCTTACATGAAATTTTCGCAGGCGAAGAGGCAATAATGATTTCAGTTTTTTTACGCACGGCTCGAGGCGACTGGCCTCACAATTCTCCAATTGAGTAAGGAGACGCGCAAAGCGCCTGCTCATGTCATACCACTTCTAGACCTATCGTTTAATTCACCTTCGAGACGCTTCATGGGAAAGGTAGCAGGTAATCCCAAGCGGCTTGGGTCCCGAAGTGACCTGGAAGGGCACATGCTCTATAAATACACTGAAAGCACTCCCGGCCCGGGTACTGGTTCAAACGTATTGCTCCTTGTATGCATGCCTGTTGATATACGTTGATATTCTTTCAAGGCCGGCATCTTTCGCAGTTGTACGATTTTCAACAGGACCTGGGAAGAGAAACGAAGAAATAAGTTAAATCTTCCTAGCGGTGATCCGGAGATACTGATTATTGGAACTACTCGGTGCGGCTTGCAAGCCGTATGTCTACCTTTGTGATCGAACATAATACGCGGGTGGGAGACAATGTATGTTTATTTATTTACTCTCGATCTCATTCAACCTAATTTTAATCAGACGTCTTATTTGAGGCAATATTCTAAGTCTTTCGCTAACTCATCCTTACTCATTTTACACGCAGACTCCCCTTCACCTCAGCCTTGCGTTGAAAGTAAATCCCCCAGCAAGCTTCATCAAAGTTCATTCATTCAACTTGATGACTGGTTTGAAGGCTACGCTCATTTCTTGGACCTGAACGTCTGGCCATTGTCTAGTGTCGTGGAAACAATCTGGGATGACGCCACAAAATCTTGGAATGTGGTCATTGATCGTGGAGCAATGTCACATCACTCGAAGATCAAGCACATTGTCCTGGCCACGGCGACAGCATCCTCCGATCTTGATCTTGATAGGAAGACACTTGACGAGTCTATCGAAGAATAAATCATTGTCAAACGAAACATTACACAGAACTGCTATTCCGATGGGGTATTTCATGTCGGAATGCAAGTTTGGCTCTGGCTATGTTGTTGTAGGTGCATGCAACTCAAGTAGAATTTCGATGACATCGCGGGGCGCATAAATAAATAATTCTATATGATGACCCCATTTTCAGCGCATGATATCATGCTGGATCTATATATGCAACCATGACGTTGATGTAACCATGTCAATTTGGGAAAACTTCCAGTATATCCTCACATTCACCCCAAGCAGTATACAAAGATCTTCCACATCTGTTGTGTCGTATCATGCGTTGGCAGCTGGACATGCAGGCGAGCATCATTTACATTCTCAGCTCACCACAATTGTTTACTACAAGTATAGTCAATTACAATGATGAATTCCCGGTGAGCTTGCTCACTCGGGTCCTTGTTGCCTTGTTCAATGCAAAAGTCGATGACACAACGGTATCCGGGACAATCAGTGACAGGCGAGTCATACTTCGTCCGTCGGAAACATTGCGAGCTTCCACGATATCTGATATAATAAAGGGCTTTGCTCGAGGGACTCAAGCGCATTGGATTCCAAACGAATCTGTCTCCTGAAGGAGTTAGTCCTGGTGCCTTGGTTTACGAACGCGGGGGAGGTTTCTATATCAGTACGCTCTCGCGTACCTAGAGCGGCAGCATATTTCCCCAGACATTGCCAGTGGTGCAAGTGATAGACCCATAGATAGTAGCATCAAGCTAATTAGGTTGGACGCTTCACCACATATGGCTTGATATTAAATGGTGGAATGGAGCTCCAAGCCGACGTAGTAACAGGGTATGTGCGCGGTTCTACCGGAGGCGGAAGTTCCTGAGGGTGATTTGCAGCTTTGGCGACATGCATGATAGCGTGAGGTTGGTGTGCAACAATGAAATTGCCCAGAAAGTCGGGCCCTTATTTTGGTTGGCGATGACGGCGAATAACGTGGTGTCTGGAAGCATAGTAGACACGAGGTTTTTTGGGTTGTGGCCGGTACACGACCTCATTAATAAGGAAACGATCTTGCATGCTTACGGGCACCAGGAGGCCTATCACAAGCACGCGTTCGAAGCATGCACCTAGCCTTACATGAGTCACACTCTGAGCGTTATATGACTTCTCGCTCACGATCTAAAAGAGATTAAAGTGCGCTTGAGGTGCTTGTTCAGGCGCGAAGAACTCAACTTTTAAGTTAGGTTCGTGGGGTGATCGTCATCGGACAAGCGCATTTTGGGGCAATACCCAACCCCCAAACCCTGTAATATTTTCTCATCTCAAGTTGACATTGCTCCACGTTGAATGTCGCCTCGTATCTGTTCGTGATTCATCGTGTCCATTCCGTATTTCAAAATTCTCGTGAGCAGGGCACGAACTAGGTCGCGGATTAGTATGAATGTTCTAATTTCCCATCCAGACACTACTACTAAAAATGACCATTCTCCATGATGATGTAGCGGCGGCACTAGTAGCGGATGAAAGGGGAGCTAGACGTCAGGGCTCCATCGTAATCTATAAACGTGTCGCGGCGGCAACATGATAAGGGCTGATAAGACCCTAGTGTTGCAACATCCTTCATAACGAGTCTTAACATATCCTTGAGAATTCGTGTTCTGCGAGCGTTGATGTCCATTGTCGATCGACGGAAAGGTGGACGTACTGAGGAAGCGAACAAGATGTCGTGGGAATAAAAAATGCAATCTATATTTCCGAAATGAATTACGTCCGCCCAAAAAGTAAATTAGGAAATATTATTATAAGAAACTGGGATTTCCATGTTCAATTTGAGCTGTGCTCGTTTCTGTTAGCCAGTTAGCCAGCCAGGTAGTGCCTTGCCTAGCACGTCCTTTTCTTTCTCTTTCTTCGTGGTCTCAATTTCCGTGCTTCTCCTTTAACAAGTAGGGTGTACTCCCTTGACTGCTTTTCGTCATGAGCGTCCTTGTACCCACCAAGTTTCCCAGCGTCGCCGCTGTCATGCTTGCCTGCGCTGTATCTTTCGTTTGCCTGTTGCTTGCACGCATATTGTATTCCTTTATGCGCCTCTGGTCTTGTCATTCTCTATCAACAGCATCCAACGAGAAGACCCCTGCTTGGTCCTCTTTGTTGTCGCTAACCAACACATGGAGTCGGTCTTTGCAGCATGCTCTCCCAGCATCACTGCCCTTTTCTTTGACCATCCCGGAGAAACCATCGCCTGAAGTTGGCACAGGAGCAGGCGTAGGACTTTCGCACAAACGTTTGGAATATCTTCCTGGCAATTGGCGATTGTGTCGACCAGTTCCTCAATTCCAGCCACCACGTGAGCCACGAATTTCTATCGGTTTCTGTGTTGCAATACTAACTTATTGCATTATAGCACCGGCCGTGTATCAAAATCCTGCGCCTCTCTCCATGGCAAAGCTGATCATGTCACGACACGTATGTAGTGCTTTTTCATCTAGTAGTTACGATCACTGACGCCTTGCGCAATTTAGACCTTCCGCCGCCCCAATCCAAACCGCCCACGGAAATTGTCTACCGCATCCTCATCCCGCCCGCCACAGCCCACCTCCCACCTGTTCCATTCCATAGCATAAACATAAATAATACTTCATTCCCGCGCCAAGATAACACCGCATTTTAGGGTGTGTGGATGGGCTGCACACTCTGGCCGGAAATAACTTATACCTCACCCACGCTAATTCACGAACAAATCTCAATGGATTGGTCACTCATAGTCCACTGGCATGAGCTCTGACGATATACCACGGTATCTACGTGTTTATTTATGATTGGACTTACGTAACTCAAGGCAGAGAAGACACTGACAAACGGTTTTTCACTTCTATGTACACACTGGACGCACTTTCGAACTTTGCTTTGCTTATACTTTTTTATACTTTCGATCCTTTTATCTTTTACTATCTTTTAGTCCTTGTTCCATGAACATACCGTTATCATCCTATAGACGGCTTGCCGTTTGTCGAGGACTCGTAGCTCATGCCAAGCAAAATAAGATGTTTTCGCGTTTTCCGAGCTGCACTGAGTCAGATATTCTATACCTTTGATCTTCCGATTCATTAGCATGTCGGACCCGGGCAGATACATGCTAGACGACACGCGCTCAACCTGCCGCGGCAGTCACGGACCACGGTGGCAGTGTCGCCAACGTCCTCAAGTTCAAGTTGCACATTAAAATGTGGATTAAATCGTCATCCCGATGTTCACGCAAGCCGGATACTAAACATATCGATGGTGTTCGACCGTGCTTGTGCGGCGTGCCAGGCCAAACAAAGGTTCAGCATTGCTGCAGTCGCCCTACTGGTCTCTAGATCAGTCAAATATATCAGTCCTGGAAGTGACTGGCATAAGAAAGGGCATGAAGACTCAACTCCCAGCAATAAAGTTCATACCCTTTCTTATGAAACTTCTGGTCTCGGCGCTGGGCGCCGCATCGAAGCACATCGAAGCACTCGTGACTCCAGGAGTCAAATTTATCTCTAGTCCCACACCCAGGGTCTCTATAGTACGATAGAGAGTCGGAAGTCCGAGTCGTTGTATCAATGGAAAATAGTTCAAAGAACCGCGACTGTGTGTCTGACCCCAACCCATTCGTTACCTCTCTAGATCTTTTGGTGCCCGCTGTGCACAACGCCTAGAGATATGCCCAATCGCGATGTTTTCTCGGAGAATGCGTTCCCTGATTTATATGAATCCGGAATTCCTGACCTTCAGAAGGGTCTTGAGCTGAGGCACTTTACGAGCGTTGATCTCGTCAAGGTAACTTACTATTAACTAATTGGTTTATTTTATTACGATTCACACAAATACAGGCTTATCTCGCAAGGATTGATGAAGTCAATCTGAAGGGCGCAGCTCTCCATGCAGTCATCGAGACGAATCCGAATGCTTTATCTCAGGCCGCAAGACTTGATTTCGAGCGCGAGTCTAAAGGGAGCAGAGGCCCACTGCACGGCATCCCTTTACTACTGAAAGACAACATTGCTACACAACATGGAGAAGGTACGCAACTATCGATGATGCGTGTTCGGTATGCTGATACTCCTGAAGGGATGAATACTACCGCTGGTACGATATCCAAGAACGTTTAGTTCTGGGTTAAATATTTAGCGAGATTAGGCTCCTATGCTCTCCTGGGTTCCGTCGTTCCGAGAGATGCATTCGTCGCTGCAAAGCTCCGCGCTGCTGGCGCTATCCTTCTCGGAAAGGCGAACCTTTCTGAATGGGCAAACTATCGCGGCAAGGTTCCAAACGGCTTCTCAGGTCGTGGAGGTCAGACTCTTTGTCCCTATTACCCGAATGGGGATGCATCTGGATCGAGCTCTGGGAGTGGGGTTGCGATGGCCGTCGGTCTTGCTGCTGGCTCTCTAGGCTCAGAAACGGATGGTTCCATTGTTTCGCCGAGCAGCAAGAACAATGTGGTAGGCATTAAGCCAACAGTAGGGCTTGTTTCTCGGGCTGGAGGTATTTACTCTTTCAATCCTGCTTTGACAGTTGGTTGAGTCTCTTTAGTGATACCTATCTCATCGCATCAAGATACAACTGGGCCTATGTGTCGGTCAGTTACAGATGCAGCCATTTTGCTCTCCGTTATAGCAGGACCAGATCCTCGAGACGCTGCCACGTTGCAGCAACCTGGTGTTCTTCCTGACTACATGAAAGCGCTCGATCTGAATGCTCTGGCAGGCAAACGACTGGGAGTGCCGCGGATGTTCCTGCGCGACGGTGAAGCATTTGAAGCAATTCTGGAAACTTTCAATGCTTCTTTAGATACCTTCCGGGCTCTCGGCGCGGAGATAGTAGATTCGGCTGATTTTCCCTGTGCCGAGGAGATGAAGCAGTCGCAAGCAGAAACACTCGTGCTGCAGACAGACTTCAAGGTTGATCTGACCGAGTATATTTCGGGGTTACTTGAGGTTCCTACTGGCGTAAAGAACCTCGCAGATTTGATCGAGTTTAACAATACCCACGCGGATTTAGAGCTTATACCACCATACCATGACGATCAATCTAGGTGGGTTCACAATCTGGCAGTGCTAAGGAGTTGCTCACTCTGATACAAGGTTCATTGCTGCCGAAGCCACGGAAAAGAATGACGCGTATTATGCAGCTTTAGCTGAGGATTTCGATTTAGGCCGGAGGCGAGGCATTGATGCAACTCTCCAAAAATTCAATTTGGACGCAATCATTCTTCCTACTGATGGTACGTCGATTATATACTTGCGTCAATTCCGGGATCTCAAATTTCCTCAGGGATCGCCTCAAAACCTGCAGCGATTTCTGGATACCCTATAATCTCAGGTGCGAACCCCCATTTTCACGACAGTTCATTTGACTAAATCAAATGCTTAGTTCCGCTGGGCTTCCAGCCAGATAACGTTGAGGTATTGCCAGTTCCCGCTGCACCACTGCACACGCAAGCTCCAGGCCTTCCGTTCGGGATAGCCTTTATAGGGACCGCATACAGCGAATTCAATCTTATTGGCTTCGCTTATGCGTTTGAGCAGGCTACGCAGGTCCGTTTGAAGAGAAGGGCCTATGCTGAAGCAATTCCTACGACGCAGCTGAATGATGTGCTTTCTATTTGAACAAAGACGGAGTATATGACTGGCACATACAACAACTATGTATTTTTTTTCCAACCATGCCTGGGTTCATCGTGATATTGTTCCAGATGTTGGGTATATATACAATCAAATGAGCACAAGCCATAACATCAGTGGTAATCCGTCGAACAGATTTCAAGTCAGGGGTAAACACCATGAATCACAGGATTCATCCGAGTCCTGTGCTATCTGAATCTATATTGATATTGTACATGGGGAGATATCGTGACGGGGCCCGTAAAGGACTTCGACGAAACTCGCGGATGCGATTCATGATCGAAGACTTCTTTGGCTTCCAAATCACCATATTTTGAATTATCACCGGGGATCAGTGGCGTCACTTGAACTCGGCCGAATCTAGGCCATACTGAATCGTTGGCACGGATCGAGCAGCCGATTGCGCCTTTTACATATATCAGGAGCATAAAAACGAAGAGAAAATATCAAATTTTAGGATAGTTACGACTAGCAATTCACTAGCGCTAGCCTGACGAGTCGTGGTAAGCAATGGCAACCAGCTCGAAGGCCACACTTACAATTTGATTCATGCATGGCGGTCTGAGTATTTCATTTCCAAATGGCCCTAGCGGAGCACAGTTGTAGTCAGCTGCGCAGCACACCAGAAAAGCTGCTTCATTTCCACATGGGTGAGAACGAAACCTGATTGTCGTTTAGCGGTCGCTATCGCGCTGTCAAAGAGGTACTCAGTGATACCCCTACTTTGATGGCGTGGGCTTGGGCTCCTCGTGTCACTCCTCATACAGGAGGAACGAACGTCACTTATTGAAGTTGACTACGGGAGACTACGTGTCACCTAATGTATGTCATACCCAACAAGATGGAACCGAAAATTACCATATCCTAGTGTTTTTCCGCCAATAGAATATCAGGGACTGAGCGAGTTAAATCTGGGGTCTATTGGCAACCAGCTGGCATTGTAAATGACATCTGTTTGAAGGGGTATTTCAAAGCGAATAAGTTCTGCACAGAACACTGAGTATCCAAGACATAAAAGCAAGCGGCCGTCATCCTACCTTCCCCCTCAGATGTATTTTCGAGATTCTAAGCCACATCTCACAAATGATGCGTTTCTCCATCGTCCTCGCTGTTCAATTTGTTGCTCTGGCAGCGTCAAAGTCTCTCAGTGCTGACCATTGACTGTGCCATTTTTGCGGCTCAACTGCAGATTGCTGTAGGGGCAGTGTATGCGAGAAAGTATGCGACTACCAATATGAAGGTGGTGTAAGTATCACTAGTTCTCATTCAGAATTTGACACCATGACTCACTGGCATGATAGTCTGTATACGTGTTTATGTGCGTGGTCCAGTGAGCTACAGTGAGTTATGTTTCTACTTTTGCATCGGTGCAGTATGGTTAATGTTGATGATAAAACACGTTCATTGCAGGATTACTTCTGAATGAATTTCACTGCTGCTCGAGCAATGAAGAACTTGGCATAGAGGATCGTCTCAAACACTTGAATGCATCACATATGACTGAAGTACTTACCACTCATTACTTTACGTCTCGGTGTAAGCTTATAGAATATAAAAGCCTCATGATGCACAGTCGGACTGAACAAACCCCCGGAAATGATTGGAGTTGCAAACGGTCCCTAGAACCCAAATAACAAATGTCATATTCCAGTGAGATTGGTTTGTACACTATACGCACTTTTACGCAGTGAAGGAATAAGCGAGTTGCTGATACGGCCCCCCATTTTCTGGCGGATGGCCTGGCCAGCCTGTGTGATCGGTTTTGTATTTGCGTGCAGGGTTATACACGTGGCCAAGCGAAACAAGCACTTGGGCTACCAATAATCAATTGGTATAGGTTTCGAGACGCGTCCGAAGCGTGCGCAGTGCCCCAGCTACGTGTAAAATAACAATTCGATATTGGAAGAAACACCTAATAAAGGTTTGAGCGATAACATCATTTTTCCTGCATCGTTTAGCGGCAGCCTATATCCGAATCATCGTGGTAAGAGCTCATAGTGGTCAAAAGTGGTCCCGGTCAAACCTACAACACCGAACTTGGCATGAATCGAAGAGTGCGTACAAGGCTGTGTAAGCACGTGAGCTCAGTTGGTACCGAGCGAACCCCAATCAATGACAAGGGATTCTCGTCCCCTGAATCCCTGACCCAACCCTTTTTCACGCTTACATTTTGGTTGCAACGTCGTCCCACCTGGATATCCAAATCGTGACATCGCGTTCAGTGACATTTCCCTTGGGCTCAAAAGTCGATATCATAACTTGCATGTATAGTACCAGCGAGGATCTCAACGAGGCCATCAATCTGTAGCGTGATTTTTTTCGGTTAAAGCACCGCTCGACCATCCAGAGCGCCGTGTAACTCTTTTCAACTTGAGTACAGCACTCTGCACTCGTTTCACACAAACTCAGACATTGAAGAGTTCATTGGTCTCTGTCAAGATTCATAGGTGGCTTTGCCTCCACTGCACCCAAGCAGATTTTTTAACTACATCGCGATGATGCCCCAGGAGACCCATCTGTTTCGTTATCAGACGCGGTACAACTCTACCGGTTTGTCACTCGCAGTGGAGAACTTTATACGAGCGTCAAAATTCCATACTCAAGGCTTTCCAGAATGCATCATAGAGGTTATTGACTGAGCTCGCCAAGCCGAACACTATCAACATGACTCTGCCCTCGAAGCATACCAGATGTGCTTGGAGCTTTTCGACGATCATGTGTTCACAATCTTCGATTACCTGAATGCTGCATCCTCTTTTCGTGGTGCTAGCTCACCAACTTTCGGAGCTCAGCAAGTGCCTCTCTGAGTTTCGGGGTTCAGTAGGCACAGACCAAGCTGCAATTGATCGGGCAGCAACCTCATGGAGCAGTGGGAGGTTGCTGTGGCTGAATTCCACAATCTTCAAAGTTTCATCGCTTCCTGCTCATTCCGTCTTACGAAGACTTGCAAGCGGCAGCGCGCCATGGCGGAGTCAGCATCCTCATTGCGAACATATACTCGTGCAACGCCGTCATTGTCCCAACATCAGGGGAGCCTCATCATGCTCCCTTTCTGTCTCTTACTCTCGCAGGTCTCAAGACACTCAAAGAAAACGTCGTTAGGGAGATACGGCACGTATCTCTTATGGGCCCAACGGAGCCGAGGATGGAGTTGTGGGTCCTCTTGCGAACGGTATGGGTCGAGACTATGCTGCCTATTGTCAAGGTCCTCTGACATGATCTCAAATTTCGGCGTCGCTCCCGGATTTGGCTGCGTCCAATGGCAGCCTTCATGTCCCTTCCTGTACAAGTCAGCTGATAAACTCTATGGTCACCAGGCTCGCGCAATCAAATGTATAAAAATACGACTTATCAGAATCCTAGACAGCGAACTGGTGACCATAGACGGAGGAGTTCACGTCCACGAAAGGGTCTTAGCTCCCACTTGCATTGCAGACTCTTATCAGTGACCGTCTTCTCGTAACAAACCTGGGCATAACTCTTATCTCCAAGTCCTGCAATCATGACTTCCAACGCTTTCAGTAGTGCTTTGCCTGATCTTTACGAAGCTTCAATTGCAGAACTCCAAGATGGTCTAGTACAGGGACTGTTCAGTAGCGTTCAGCTTGTGAAAGTAAGTTGCTACATGAGCACATACCCGATGCCGGCTTTACTACTGAGTGATTACAGGCCTACCTTAGTAGAATTGAAGAAGTTAACATCGGAGGTCCTGCATTGCATGCAGTCATAGAGACCAATCCGAAAGCCTTAACACAAGCTGCAGCCCTTGACGCTGAACGAAAAGAAAAAGGCAGCCGTGGGCCATTGCATGGAATACCATTATTGTTGAAAGACAACATTGCTACGTTGTACGAAGAAGGTGAAGTACTCTGTTACATACATGCAACACCAGTAGATTGAGACCCAGATGAGGAATGAATACTACTGCAGGTACATCCTGCGCTACTGGCTGCATCTAGTAAATCTTAAATCTTTGTGGCTCCGTTCTAGGTTCCTATGCGCTGCTGGGCTCTGTTGTTCCTCGAGACGCATTTGCAGCAGCAAAATTACGTGAGGCTGGAGCTATATTCATAGGCAAAACGAACTTGTCCGAATGGGCTGGTGCGAGGTCTATTACACTTCCTCGTGGATTCTCAGGGCGTGGGGGGCAGACTCGTTGTCCGTACTATCCGAACGCTGACCCATTTGCTTCGAGTTCCGGAAGTGGTGTTGCGATGGCTGTCGGTCTGGCAGCTGGGTCTCTTGGCACAGAAACTCATGCCTCTATTGTAGCCCCAAGTAGCAGGAATAATATTGTGGGTATCAAGCCTACTGTCGGGCTGGTATCTCGTTCAGGTGGTAAGTCTTCCAGTCATGGTTATCAGTCGCCCCTCTGACAACGGCGAATGCTAGTGGTGCCTTACTCATCTAATCAGGATACTCCTGGTCCGATGTGTCGCTCTGTCACCGACGCCGCCCTGTTGTTGGCTTTCATCGCCGGGCCTGATCCTCGGGATGAAGCTACTTTGCGCCAGCCTGGAATAGTCCCAGACTACATGAAAGCACTCAACAAGAATGCCCTTAAGGGCACTCGCCTTGGAGTGCCTCGTGCCTTTATTCGCAATATAAAGGCTATCGAGGAGACGTTCAACTCCTCTCTTGACGTCTTTCGAGCTTTGGGCGCGGAAATCGTTGACCCTGCAGATTTTCCGAATGGAGAGGAACTACTGGCATCGCAAGCAGAGAAGCTGGTGATGACTGTGGACTTCAAAGTTGGTATCAGCAAGTATATATCGGAATTAGTCGAAGTCCCTACAGGCGTCAAGACTCTCGCTGATCTGATAGAATTTAACAAGATCAATGCAGACCTAGAACTTCCAGGGCCATTTTACACAGATCAGTCTCGGTATGTCAGCTCGAATCACTACAATATGCTGTCACAGAAAATATGCAGATTTATGGACGCGGAAGGTACACAGGTTGATGACGCATATTTTGCAGCACTGGTTCGAAATTTCGACTTGGGACGCACGAGGGGAATTGACGCCACCCTGGCCAAGTTTAATCTTGATGCCATAATTCTACCTACCGATGTACTGGAGCCCAAACCCACAGCGATTGCGGGATATCCGTTGATTTCAGGCGAGTACTTCATATGGTAATGCTTATGCCACTTACACCATCTAACCGTTTAATATCAGTGCCTCTTGGCTTTCAGCCAGATGGGGTTGAAGTACTGCCTGCGACGCCATCTCCACTTCACAGTCAAGCTCCGGGAATTCCTTTTGGAATCGCTTTTATGGGAACTGCGTATAGCGAGTTCAAGCTCATCAGCTATGCTTATGCATTTGAGCAGGCTACCCACGTGAGACTTCAGAGAAAGGCATACAACGATGCGATTCCGAGAACGCAGTTAGCGGGTGTTATGTGAAAGGAGGGTTGAAAGAATAACCAACAGAGGGGGCAATGTAACCTATGCAAGTGATAGGTAGAAAGCGTTTTAAAGTCTGAAGGTACCTCCTCACTCGATTGGAGAGTTGTGAGGACAGTCGCCTCGAGTCGTGCGTCAAGAATGCGCTTGATATCATCATTTTTGCCTCCAAGCGTGCGAAACAATAGTGGTATGGCCCGCAGCCGCCTTAGTCTTTCCATTCATCGTCAAGGGCTACAGCTTGTGATAAGGCTATTGGATTACTCTCGATGACCGCATGGGCAAGAGGAGGATACTGAGAACGCCAACCCCGCTCTTTCTGGGCGCTATCCCGCGTCATGGTCGTGCGGCACTCATCCGATCATTTGGTCATCCCTCACAAGCACGCTTCACCGTACATGTTTTCCTTTTTCAAGCGCACCCGACCAACAAACTAAAATTTCGTATGCAGTTGTTTAGACCGGGGCCGCATGCGAAACATTACGTTCTCAAAGCTCTGTGATCATGTTCGTACTATAAACTTTGTGGCCAAGTAAGTACCAAAGCTAACAGATGAGCTTACCGGGGCCTACATTCCATCATCATCCCAATCATTGAAAGCTACATCACTTTTTCAGCGATCGTCCGCGCAATCATTGCAGAAGACACATAAGTAATGCAAATGCAGGCGAATGGTATGGCACTCCCACCCGGACCGCATTTTGTACGAAATGCGCTGCAGCTCGTCCATGGCCAACTTATACCAGGTGGGGAAAGCAATATGGTTATGGTTAGTTAGTCAGTCCCGCCTTGGTCATTCTCTGCAACTCAGTCTCGAATTCCAGGTGATATTGCAAGTACACTTGCGCCTCTTTGGTCAGCACTTCATCGTAACCTCCGAGAAAGTTTCCGGGACCGTTGTGGACAAAAGCTCGACGATAAGTATATTCTGATCGTCCTTCCATTGCTACAAACGAGCGGTAAATTAGGATTAGGTCTATCAATCACGTGACTGAGTGCGAACAGATCCTTACGGATGGAATTTGCAGGCCTCGTGTTCCACTGGCGGTACTTCTTTACCTGGAAGTCTAGAGTCATGCTAGAGCAGCAATCGACGCAGTATGCGAACACGACGAAATTCCAACTTTCAATATAGAAAGTGACTGCCGTGTTGTTAATTCTGCCTCCTAGGTTCCTACACCCGTTCTGTAATCCTCGAGACGCGTTTGTAGCAGTCGTGTAGTTGGAGCTGAATTCATAGACTAAGCGAATTTCTCCAATGTGTAAGGTACTTGAGAAAGACATTCGACTCCTTTCTTGACGTCATACACCAACGCCAAAATACAATCTCACCTGGCCAGACCAACTGAAGGAAGATGGTGTTCCTTCCATCACGTACATTGTGTCTAGTACCACGTCTGTACTCGTTGTGAAAAATTTGCATCTTGATGGAAAACCAATGTCGGAGTCTATCTTTGTTTCTTGATGATGCTACATAGTGTGCATTAACAACATCATACCTGGGGAGTGCACTCTCTTTTGGAATTTGGATCTCCAAAGCCTCAACTGCCAGTACCTGCTTTCGCATTCCCCCATGCGTGATGAGACTCTGAAGTTCTCTCATTATCCACGAGACGCCTGAATTCGGCCTCTGCTAGGATCCTTGCGTGTCACCTGGTAACGTGGGCCCAACGGTTCGGAATTGCACGTCACCATCATGTCCTAAAATTCTTCTCTGTTCTTTTGCCTTGCAATAAGATACCGGGGATAGCGCAAGTTAAATTCAAGGTCTGTTGGCAATCTGCTGGCATTACAGATGATATCTGTTTGAAGGTGGGATTCAGGTGAGCAGTGTCTGCACAGAATGCGTAAAAGCAAGCAATCTTTTTACCGTTCCCTTTCAGATTTACTTCCGAGATCCCATAGCACATCTCACAACCAATGCGTCACGCTTTCCGAGTTGTCCTCTCCGTTGTTGCTGCTTTAACAATGTCTATTGCTGTTAATGCTGACAGTGAATGCCAAGCACCTGGCGACTTTTGCGACTCAACTACGAATGATTGCTGCCCTGACTATAAATGCACGATAGAGTTCATCGACCAACACGTGAGTATGAGTAGTTTCATCCAGGATTTATTAACTTACCGGCATGGTAGTTTGACTTCGTATATATATGCGTGTGAGATTAGATGAGCTACAGTGAGTCGTATCTCTGCTTCCCCATTAGTGCCGCAGTGTGGTTGATGACACCATCGTGATTCGTGACACGTCAGTAGTAGGTCGTTGCACAATGCGGAGTGCTTCTTAACGAATCCTACTGCTGCTTGAGCAACGAAGACCTTGGAGCAGAGAAACTCAGAAGGTAGATGATCCGGCGGAGTGGGGGGTTGGCGGCGAGCCCGATATTGAAGGATTAGCGAAGGGACACGTACCGTATTACTCGTAACAATCTCGTATGAGGTAGCTAGGGCTACTCGTCCGTGGTTATATAAGCCAGGCTGGTATCGAGCTTAGTAGCTAGCCACATCCAACACAGTGACTGATTATGACCCCCGCTCCGGCAACAGTCGGCAACTCGGTCCGTCAATTTGAGTCAGGTTGAACTGTTCAATAGAATCGATCAAGAGTAGATTCAAATTTCAGACGAGTCTCCCACCCGCCGGGGGCCTTGTGGATCATTCAACCCAAGTTCCTTTAAAGTTTGCTGTCCACGTCTCTCAACAGGGAGGTGTGTGCTCTCCGAGTGTTTGCTGACCAGGACTGATCGAATCGGAGCAGCAACAGGTGTACTTTAATGTAACTGTGTTTATAGTTATAACTTGTTACCAACTGGCTGCACGAAGCATCAATGCGTCAAATAACCAATGCGTTACCAGGGCAGCCCACCTTGAGTTTATCAACTCGCAAAGTATACTAGGTGAACTGATATCGACTCTGGTACAAGGCCAGCGCAAATTAACGTCTAAAAATATGTTTATCTGCGTGGTGGACTTAGAATTCGGATGTACGACATGGTTTAAGATACCACTAGGGATGCAGACTCTTATCTTTGACCGTATCCCCGCGACGACAAACTTGGACCTAGTTCTTACCTTGTGTCTACTGGGATATACCGCATGATTTGCAAGACTTCCAGTCGCGCTTTGCCTGATCTTTACGAGGCTTCAATCGCAGAACTCCAAGATGGCCTAGTAGAAGGATACTTCAATAGTGTTCAGCTCGTGAAGGTAAGTTGCTGCCTCGGCGGATGCCTCATATAGCCCTTACTCGAGTTATCGCAGGCCTACCTGCGCAGAATTGTGGAAGTTAATTTGGAAGGCCCTGCATTACATGCGATCATCGAGACCAATCTAAAAGCCTTATCACAAGCTGCGGCCCTTGATGATGAACGGAAAGTCAAAGGTAGCCGTGGGCCTTTGCATGGGATACCTTTGTTGTTGAAAGATAACATTGCTACACTGCATGAAGAAGGTGAGATTCCCTGTGTCATATACCTATAATACCAGTAAATTGAGCTGGGTTTAGGAATGGATACGACTGCAGGTACGGACACATTGCACGACTGCTTGCCATCTTGCATATCATAATATTTACTCTACCCTAGGTTCCTACGCACTGCTAGGTTCTGTTGTCCCGCGAGACTCGTTTGTTGCAGCAAAATTACGTGAAGCTGGAGCTATATTCATAGGCAAAGCAAACCTCTCCGAGTGGGCTGGTATGAGGGGACAAGTTCCCTCTGGATTCTCGGGGCGTGGAGGGCAAACACTTTGTCCCTGCTACCCGAATGCTGACCCACTCGGTTCAAGCTCCGGAAGTGGTGTTGCGATGGCTATTGGTCTAGCAGCCGGGTCTCTTGGTACAGAAACTGATGGTTCTATTGTTGACCCGAGCAGCAGGAACAATGTCGTGGGTATCAAGCCAACCGTCGGGCTGGTATCCCGTTCAGGCGGTAAGATTTCTAGTGATAAACATTGAGTGATTCTCTGACAACGGATACTAGTGATACCAATCTCTTCCCATCAAGATACTGCTGGCCCGATGTGTCGCTCTGTCGCTGATGCCACCCTGCTATTAAACTGCATTGCTGGGCCCGATCCTCGAGATGAAGCTAGTTTGCATCAGCCCGGAGTGATCCCAAACTACATGAGAGCGCTCGATAAAAATGCCCTTAAAGGCGCTCGTCTTGGGGTGCCTCGTTCCTTCATCCGCAATGTCAAGGCAATTGAAGAGACATTCAACTCCTCTCTTGACATTTTTCGAGCTTTAGGCGCGGAAATCATCGACCCTGCGGATTTCCCAGCCACAGAAGAACTATTAACATCGAAAGCGGAGCAGTTGGTCTCGGCCGTGGATTTCAAGATTGATATCAACAAGTACATATCAGAATTGGTCGAAGTCCCGACAGGCGTGAAGGCGCTCGCAGATCTGATAGAATTCAACAAGACTCATGTAGATCAAGAACTTCCAGCGCCGTTTTATACAGATCAATCCCAGTATGTCAGCTCGCATCTTTAATGCACGTTAACAAATATATATATAGATTCATCGAATCGGAAGCTGCACAGGTTGATGACGCCTATTTTGCGGCGCTGGCGAAGGACTTCGAGTTGGGGCGCACGAGAGGAATTGACGGTACCCTGGCCCAGTTCAATCTCGATGCCATAATTCTACCAACCGATGCCCTAGCGCCCCTACCCGCAGCAATTGCAGGGTATCCGTTGATCTCAGGTTAGTACTTCGTACTGCAATCTTAACGTCCCTTATGCTTTTCAACACTCAGTGCCCCTCGGCTTTCAGTCAGATGACGTCAAAGTGCTTCCTGAGACGCCATCACCACTTCACACTCAAGCTCCGGGACTTCCTTTTGGAATCTCTTTTATGGGTACTGCGTATAGCGAGTTCAAGCTCATCGGCTACGCCTATGCGTTTGAGCAGGCTACCCACGTGAGGCTTCAGAGAAGGGCATATGCCGATGCGATTCCTAGGACTCAGTTAACTGATGTCGTGTTTCAGTGAAGGTGGTTTGTAAATCACGTACAGGGAATAAGCTATTTTGCACATATGACACCTTGAATCGAGTGAAATATTTCGCAATGCATGAAACCCGCATTCAAATCCTCATGCCCCAGCACTCCATCTTTTGAACATTGTCCCTTGCGGTGTCAAGACTTGTCGTATTCCAAACCTCATACGTCCATGTATAGCGGAACGCCGCAGCGGGTGATGATGGCGTGATACACGACGAAGACTGTTTCTCCTCCTTCCCCCAATTCCGGCTCACGCCCAGGGATCATCAACGCCGGACAGCGTGGAAACGGCCAGGTTTGTTTCTGCTTCTAACTGATTTTGAACTTGTTCCCTAGTATCTCGTTATTGTAACTGTTGCTCGTTGCATGTGTTGTCCTCCCTATATTCATTGTCACTACACCCCCAAAGTGCTCGAGATATATCAATAGTCCCGATGGTCAATCCTGTCCATCGAAGATCACGAAAGTTTTGTTTTACAGCAAACCACACTATAAAGAGCGCGAGGGCTTCTGAAGACATACTGTCGTGCGTAGATCAGCCAACAAAATGAAGCAAAAACTTCCGCTTTCCGATTGGAGACACGGAGGCATGAAGCCCCGTCGAGTCGTCCCGCAGTAATACTGGTGCAAATACAGTCGCTACAGACTTTATTGAGCAGATGTTTCAATGAACTCTGCATAATGTATGATAGACGCACCCAGCCTTTCTGCCATATCTGCTTGATCTGGCGATGATTGTGACGGCAGTTTTTGCAAGGATATATAATGGAGGAATGCAGTAAGCGAGATCCATACCTGAGAAGAGTTAATGAGAGGCGTGTGCACCATGTGTAGAATCTTACATTGACTGATTCAGGAGGAAATTCATCCAGTAGCTAGGACTTGCATGAAGACTATCCAGGACGCTGGAATTTTGTTGACGCACCTCGAATGCTTCGTCTCTACTTGTCATTTGCAAACACCGTGCATGGAGGTACGGGGGCACGACAGGATCTACTAACGAGTCCAATAGCTGTACCAGTGTAGATGCAATGGCAGTCGCAAGTGGATTGTGCTCTTCTCCAGATTGGGGTGATGGAAATTGATCTCCTGTGTCAAGACACTATGAACAATGATTAACATATGCATGAATGTCGAAGATGACTCGCAAACACCTCTCTTATGTTCATGCATATGCTCTCATCAAGAGGACTGTTGAATAAATCATTCTAGAGTGTCGTTAGGGCATGCCGTCAGAATCTTTGTGGCACGAACTGGATTAGTGACATGGGTCATCAACCAGTTGATCAACGTCATGATCTCCCTCGGGGCGTTCACTGGCTGCCGTGCAGGCATCCAATCATTCGGGGACTTCATACTTCGCACGGGACCGGGAAGTCGTGTAAGTCTGGTAAGCTTGTTTGCGAAGCAAGTATATTCTGTGTTCATCATCTCCAGTGAGGACATCAGGCCGGACAGGAATGAACGTACGATATTCGCCAGTGACCGAGATGAAGTGATCTTTTCCTAGAGCAGTGTGCAATATGAGGGTAAAATCCAAGCGGGGCGGTGCAAGATTCAGCCGTGACGCAGACGAGCTGTCGACAAACACTGTAACAGTGGTGGTTGAAAATTCACCCGGACGAAGTAGGACCTGCATAGAAAGAAATTTGCAGGTTAGCCCCAGCGTGACAGCATGAAGATGCCTCGCACCACCACGGGATCAATCTTAAGCCATTGCGGACCTTCGATACAACACATCAGTTGGTGATATGAAAGCTAATGTATTGCTTACAGATCGGCTGTTCAGCATCTGCAGCGACGAATCGGTAAACGCAGGGGATCTGGAAATCATAATTACCAAAGGCTGTAAAAGTTACTGAGTCAACTTGCCTGTCCAACATTCTGAATGGACAACGTTTGTCGGGTTAGACGCTTATAGCTTTGATACAAACTTCAGCCAACACCAACTAGGAGGTGCAAGAACCTACTAGACTTTTCCAAGGTCCAATGTCAATGGCTGTAGCTTGATTTTCGGTGTCTTTGAGGATTGTTCCACGCCCCATAACTCCCGGTACAGCTTAGAGGCGGCGATCTCACGTCTTTCCTTGTCAACAATTGATATCTGACGAACATCGAGTATGAATGGATCAACATAACATTTGTCAACAAAAAACACACATTCAAATCAAAATCAGCTGACACTGGACGGTGATCACTCATCGTTATTTGCGGATGGCTGCAATATGAACGTTGGGTGACTGGAACACTGGGAGCTGACATATGTATTATGCGGTCCGTCCATGCGGGTTTGCGCCTAGCAAGATAGGAGAATTGTTCCAATAGTAAGCCAAATGCGAACACCGCTCACTTTCGGTCATATCCCAGAGAATCCTCTGACGTATTTGATGCATATCTGTACGAACTGCCACGCCCAGCGATTCAGTATATGTAATTATTCGGGAGGAAACTGCGCACGGCATATGTGTGATTGCATGCTCCGAAAAATCAGCAAATGCTTTCCCGCTTGCGATAGCCGTCTTCAACTAAATACTCGATACAGTCAGCACAGTGATCAATTATGTCAGTCATCATCTGACCTGATCATACTTTAGCAAAAGTGGGATGTTACTCGTGCCTAGAGAAGATGATAGTAGTTCTCTCACGTCCCCGTCCGCAAGATCTATCCTGTAATTCAAATCTGTGATGGCCGAATGAGTCATTCATCTCGTCGGGTGATAATCAACCAACCTCCCTAAAGTTCCAAAAGTGTAAGTGAGGTAATAGAGGGGGCAAGTTACAGCGCACCATCCAGAATAATACGTCACTTTCAAACAATCCAGCAGTTCTTCTCGAAGTCTCCAGTGCAGCATTCGCATAAGAATCAGAATCAAGCTCGTCAGTCTGATCAAAGACCAGGCGCCTGGAAAGATCGTGGAAGTCAAAGTTTCGCCTCTCTACCATTTCATCAAATGCTGCGAGATGTGCGTTGACGAAAGTGAGCACTGTGGGACTCGGCGAAATGTCTTGGGCTAAAGGTGTGTATGACATCCGTATCGCCGTTGCACCTTTATTTCCCTGCAGGACAAATTTGATTAAATACCATGAGAATTGTGTTCACGACCGTACCATGATACCCATGATTCCTGCACCAGCGACGCTAATTCTGATGTCACCAAAGCATGACAGACGCGATTTCTTCGCAATTGCAACAATTAGCATGCCGACCAGCTGTTTGGAAGCAAGCTGACAGACATCACACATCGAATTGCAATAGATAAATGGGTGAAACACGATACCTTCTCATAGAGAATGCCTCTCTCACCTAACCCAGCCAAGATGGCTTCCACCCACGCATCTTCTTTGACGGTACTGGTGGCATACAAGAGGGCTTCGGTTGAAAGGTCCAGTTCTTGGAAGCCTAGTACAAGAAGATCTGGATCGGAGACGTTTGCATCGTTGTTCAAACTTGCATGAGCTAATGTGGCAGAAGAGGCTCCTAGGCTGCTGGTCACCTCTAAATCAAGAAGTGGGGTGCAATCAATGACAAATTGACATAGTGGCCAAACGCCACTGACGTTCGTCAATTGGGTTTGACAGTATATCGAGTGGTGAAATGGATTTCAAAGGTGATATCCATCCAGATTTTTCTGAATCGCGCTTCGCTGGTCTGAGCCAGGGAGACAGGTCCTGCGACGGCAACTTTCCATTGACATTGAATGTCCCTGTGCGGATGCTGTTCATGAGTGAAGTTGCCCATTAAAATATTTCAAGAGCAATATTAGCAAGCATACAGCAGGCGCGCCGATGATCCAGTAGAAGCCTCCTCGATAGCCTTGTTGTATATCCAATTTTCGCGGACAATGCTGATATCGACTGCATCGTCTCCTGGAAGCCCCGCACTGGCCGGCGAAAGTCGCGTGTGCAACGGTAGTTTGACCGTGCGCAAATCTATAGGAGATGAAAATGCTGGTATCAAGTCAGCTCGTGTATCTACATTTACGTGATGGAAGGTATCGTACATTTCAAAGAGCTCTCTTGTGTGTAAAGTAATAGCCAAGAGAAATCAGCATCAAATTCATTTCTAGCTACAATTAGTAGATGCACTGGTAAGTCGATATGGGGGACGTAAAAGAAGAACGGCTGACTGAATATGTCCTTCAAACGTCTGCATTCTGAGGTGAAGGACTGCAATTTCCGCGTATCTCGTGTGATAAAAGTATGGCTTCGTATTTCATTAGCCAGCTCATACTTTATAGTCAAAATGAGTTCTGTTGATGTGGTGAGAGTGCGACTTATGGCATCAGCCGCATTTACATACCTGATCTCGACTGACCCAGCGTAGCGCCAGTATCTCCCACAGATGCGCGAAGGTCCGAAGTTGTTCGCCTTGCTTGTGCAACAGAGAACGAAAAACTTCCAGAGATCGGGTATGCAACTTCAATACTCAAGTCCTGGATGAAGTGATCCGGCGTGCGCTTAAGAATCAGAACACTTCTCAGAGTCAGTATAAAGTTAAACGAGCGGAGCTTAGTAGAAGCATCTGTACGCCAGGAAAAGGTTCCTGACACAGGTAGCAGGCTACATACCTGCCTTCTTCGTCTCCCACGTAATCACTTCTGTGCGACAGCACGGCCAGAATGCGTCTGAATCGGTCATCTGTGGAAGAACTTGAAAGGTCACCGCGTTCTTGAAGTTGTGTGACCTCGACTTCGAGTGCCGCCTTGAGATCCTCAGATGATCGCAGAAGGGATTGAACTGCGGCTTCCATTATCCCATTCATAGGTGGTAGTCTAGACGACTTCCTAAGGAACTCTTTGCCCGTTGTCAGAGGGTTAGACAAGGACTGTGTTTCCGCGGTGCCATTAATGGTCACGTGTGTCTTAATGATGTTCTCACGTTTCCCCACAAAGTTCTTTCTTTGTGGGGGGAGCCTCATGAGCGTCAGCCTGAGATCGTCAGACGACATCAAAGTCTGTCAGAAGCAGTGGGGTTAGTACGAACAGCCGCAGCACTAGTGAAACAAGAAAGGTACAACTTATTCGATTGACGTGCGTGCCCTGGATGGAACAAAAAAAGCTGTTGTTCTGATCACGAGTCGTAGAATTGTCTCGAATATTTACCTTTGTAAGTCATAGTCACAGGTGGCGTGGCGGCAAAGCTGCAGGTTATAAAAGCAAACCACTACGCCTTCCAATTTCTTATATCCAATTCTATTTTCCCAACACACAACCACTTTGATCCCTACCAGACCTCATCACTACTTGACAGACTCATTATGACTCGCACAGAGCGCGCTGTCTTTCCTCGTGCCTTACTACGGGATCGCTCTAATTCTAAGTCTGGTCTCGACAAGTCCGTTCGCAAGAACGGCAGTGGCCAACACAATTGGGGCAGTATCAATGATGAACGCTACCTTGAGGCTGCTGCACTCGCAGACAAGGAAGAGGAAGAGTTTGAGGAAGACACCACAGACCAGCAACGCAACAATTGTACGTATCGACTCCATTGTCATGCTCCACCTTCATAACACCATGGTGCTCTAGCCGTTCACAAAAAGCCTGAACCCGAGAAGCGGGCCAACTCCTTCACAGAGGAAGAAAGGGAGAGTGCTAGGCAGATCAGGAAGAACGCACTCAAGGCACCAGGTCAGTCACTGTTTGGAATGTGACACGTGCAACAGCCAATTGTTATCTTGTCTATAGACATCGATTTGTCTATGATTGCGCGCACCTCTTCTGCTGCGTCTACATCTCCGTCCACCAGGTCGCCTCCGGTCTCCATTACTGGCAGTGCGGAGGTATGTTGTTTCCTTGACGCGAGACAGAGGGCCTAACATCTTTTTGCCAGACTGTCAGCATAAGGTCAGCATGAAGCGGGTGCAGAAATTATCTGCTTGACATTTTACGTCCAAATTAGCTCAAAACAACATACATAACACGCTTGTTCCTGTAATTGTATAACTGTACTGTCACTGTTAAATTGTATTATGTCAAATACACTCCCCTCAGATCTTTTGCATGCTGCGCACCGCTCCGCGTTACGTATTTCAAGCACCTGAAACCTCTCCATTTCCCCAAATACGTCAGCGACGATGTCCGTCATAAATTCTTCATATCCTAGTGGCTGCCTAGCGTCTTGGAAATCTTTCAGAGTACCAGGGTCCCTCACGGCTTCTCTGCCCATCGCTATCAGTACCATGGTCTCCAGCCCAAGTTCTACTGCCTCTAGCACATTCAAGGGCTGTCGCCTTAAACAAAGCGCTACGTAAGAGGGCAACAGCCACTCTTGCACGTCGTGCTTCCGCGCCAGGGTAATCTTCTGGATGGGATCAAGCGGTGGGAGATACTCTAGTTCATGCAACGCTCTCGCGCGGATACGCTCCATTCCATAGCGGGTTGCGATAGACAGTAATCTGACCCATTCTTCTGCTGTTGAGAAAGGAGATGGCGAGGTACCCCTGAGAGGCAGTTAGTTGATGCGAGGTACGCTGATGTTTGTAGGAGGCATACCCATCGTATAGGAACTTGAGCAAGCCCTCAAACTCAGCAACTGTGACTTCAGGCAGGACGATTGGCTTGTCATCACTGAGTCCATCAGGACCGTCTTGCGTTGGAGGACACACAAACATAGTGCGGAAAACATCAGACTCGCGCTGCAAAAAAAAGCGATGTACACGGAATAACACCCCGTCTACCTATGAATGCACAACATTCTTTAATGTAAAATTTTGGAAATGTAGAGATTTGGACCACCTACCAGGAAGACAGATAGTTCATCCTGCAAGTAAAACTCGGAGTGTCTCGGCGGAGAAGAAGCGGACCGCAGCTTTGTAAAGAACGAGGCAATACTTTTTGCAGACTCGACTGGACTTGCGACAACAGATGCCTGGGCGAGGAGTCCAGGAAGTCTTGCGTTCGCTGATGGCGACCGTGAAGACCGGGAAACAGGTGAGCTAAACGATAGCTGAGAGCCCGAGAGAGCGCTCATCGGACGTGAGGCAAAGCCTTCTGATGACGGGACGCGATACGGGACTGTCAATACTGGGTGAGAGAGTTCTGGAGTACTGTCGAGACTCCTCCAGCTCATGTTGATGTTTTATGTTGTTGGGTTGGTTAACTTCAAGTTGAAGTAAGAGTAGTCGAGCGACTTGCTTATACCCTCGAGCTGCGCACCATGTTGTGACGAGGCATGCTTTAACCGCGTGCTTGTCATTGAATGTGTAGCATGCAGCCTCAGTGAGGCATGCCAATATAGGACCGGGTTCATCAATACACCATTGGAGGATGTCGCGGCATTCAAGTTCTCAGAAGCAAACTTGAAAGTAGCACAGAAGATGTTCGATCACGATGTGAATACTACACGTGTCACAGCTCTGGCGCGGACATGACCATCAACCCAGCGTTAACCTCTGACTGTCCTGGCGTTTGGCCATGAAAATGAAGGCTTTAACTGGGAGAAGGATACAATTGAACGACAAGGTGTCGCTAACCTTGTCGCTAGATAAAATCATAATTGCTACCCATTGGTCCAGGCAACAAGATGATAACCATGTCGACGCCTTACCGAAGCTATGTCATATATATCATACCATGAATTTCAGGAAGATCATAACGCGGTTTAGGATGTCTTCGCAGGATTGGCCAGAGATTGGCCAGACAGAGTCGCGGTCGAGGCGCGGACTTACAAATTTAGCACGTACGTAGTCACGTGTTATTTGAACCTCATAACCCGTCCTTCAAGTTAACGTTCACTCCTTCACAATATCAATGGCAACTTGAACCCCCCTAATATTCGTGTAGGCTCCCCCTATAACTTTACAGAAAGCATTCTTGCTCGTCATCGATTTTCCAGAATGTCCCAGTGTCCTTTCAGTTACACGAACCATTTCAGTCAATATTAATGCTTTTAACACGCCCCTACTCTTCACCCGGGTGCGCCGCCGATGGCGAGTTGCTGCCAGCTCAATAACAGGCATCTGGTCCTGTATCAAGATTATGCTTCCAGGGCAACTCACCGAAGCACTTAAACCATTCCTTCCATCTCTACTGCAGGTCCGGCTCGTCCAGCTTAGCAGTCGGCCTCTCCCTCCACATTGATCGCTCTTCCCACCGAAGCCGTTTTGAAATAGAATGCCGCGTTACAACCAGACAAGTGTCGCGTTTCGCACAGGCTAATCCTCGCCTGATCGGGATCCTTCTGCTGAGAGGAGGCGCTGGGAAACGGTAGTTGGTTTGTCAAGTGTATACGGATGGGATAAGTTAGATACACCTTGATTGAGGACTTTGAATGTTACCAGTCAACTCTCCCGAAATTCAATGGGCTAAATCTCCGTTGCCTACACACCGTCAATCAATTTTGATGGACTGGCCTTCTTCCACTCTACGCCATCTGCACCTCCAGAGCACTTCCCCCCGGATCGTGTGCTCCATTTCAGCAAATTTCCTGCATCTGGAAACTATCGTAGGGGATGTATTTGCACCACATTCTGGCAATAGAAGTCGTTTGGTCACATCCTTGCTTTAAATCGATGACCCTCCCCCTCCATGTTTCCTGGCTTCCTTGTGATCAGTGTAAAAAACTGACATACTTGATTGAGCTTATGGAGGAACCAAGAAGGGTGGAGACTATGGTGGCGCTTGCAGCTACTGCATATTGCAATTTGCGAGCGGTAGGCTTTTGGACGGCCACACCACTGGAGTGAATATCATCCAACCGTTGTTCTCAGTAGTGCTGGAAGTTATTGTCCGCGGAGAAGTGATAATGAACTACTCACAAGTTGGAACGTACGAGGAAATAAATACATCAAAACTACAAGTTCGTCATGCGTTTCGTTACTCATCAAGTCTGTGCAGAGGTATCTGTCAGTTCAAATATTGTGGTCTCATATTGCGATGTGGTTGAATTATTCTATTACACTACGGCACGGTGCTAGGCTCACCGTTTACAAATCGCCAAAAAAATAATGTTCAGATCGTGCTGAGTGATTATAAGACATGTTCAAACAAAGACACAGTTAGGTGACAAGGTATACACCCCTAAACGAAGGCCGTCAAGTACGCCTGTATCTATGCTCTCCGAAATGTGGTCGAGGTCAAGATGCGGGAAGATGGACTTGTTTAGTTCCATACAGCCCGTGATTGTAGGGGGTAACGTGTGTTGCATGGCCACGGGGGTCACGACGAATGTTCTGTCGTAATCACTAGCACTGAGGGACGCAGCGAAGTTATCTTGGGACGCCCCAGCGAGATCGACGAAAGAAATTAAGCCAGATTGAGACATCTGAGTGATACTACGTCAGTTGAGCCTGCTTGCATGGAAAAAATGGAAGCAACCTCGTTCTCTAACGCCAAGGAAGTGGAGCGGTGGTGTGTACGTCTTCCAGTAGATTATATTTGTCCGTGTACCGAGGGAAGCGTCAGCAATTACAGAATGGAGGTGGAATAGGGAAGGCACTACGCCTCCTTGATGCAGAATTCCAAATAGAACTGCGAGCACAAAATTGAAGATGGAGCAGGATACCTACAAAGTCGTTAACAGCCTCACCAACTAACTTCAATGTGTTAACATACCCAAAACGCCTTACCGACATGGGCCAATCGTCCGGTGTTTGCTATCAAGACAATAATAGGCAACAAAAGAGGCACCAAGAAACGAGGTTCTTGGTGAGGTTGCACAGAGAGGACAGTCAATGACAAAATGATCATTTGTATGATTGCTGCAAGTGACCAAAATGTGAGTGGTTGCGAGTGCTGTAAATACAAGGCCTTACTCGGACGAAGAACATAGACTTCAAATGATTTGTCATTTTTCTTGTCAAATATTGTGGCACTATCCATAATCGCGCGCACCGCCAGCCAAGTTACCCAGGGGCCGAACAACATCGGAAGGTTCACGAAAAGGTGGAGCCAACGCGGATGGAGACCATGTTCTGCCAGATTTTGGGGTGCAAAATTATACATGAGAAAATTAAAAGGTGTCACCACGATATCATTAAGGGTGCCTCGAAAATAGAGGGTGTCCGCTACAAAAAATGCGGTACATGTCCCTGCTGCAGTGAATAACGGCGGGACAACAAGCCGCAGCCGCTGGTTGCAGTTCTGGCATGTGTAAACGTTCTAAGTGCGACCTGATATGCGATGGGCGCTCCGAATATCAAGAAGGTTGGGCGAGTGAATATACCAGTCACGAAGGTTGCGGCTAGTAAGTGGAGAAGATAACTCTGCCAATAGATTAGGCTCGGGAACCTCGAGAAGCCGTGAACAGCCAAAACTGACCTTATCCAGCGTCTTAACTGAGCTTATCTTACGCAAGAACAAAAGACTCAAAGCAACGAGGACTGCCTCGATAGAATTCGAGAAGGGCCGGACTTGGAACGTGTTCATAACATGAGACGACGCCAGAAGCAGAAGACCAAGGTGTCGGGCACCCGGCGTGGGCACCAAACTCATAAAACTGTAATCTAATGCTTTGAGCTTCATGAGTTGTAGTGATGGCATTACAACGATTTACCAATCAGCCCAGATAGAACCAAAAAGGCGGACCGTTCTAGTCGAAAGATTAACATTGGATGTATTCCCTGTGTCAAGCGTGTATCTAAACAGGCTGTGTGAGACATACATCATAATTCTAGCATAAATCTTCTCACTGCTGAAGAACTTAGCAAACCAGACGGGGATTCCAGTTGTCGCAAATGCTGGTACTATGGAGCGGACGGGAAGTGCAGCGGACCATTCCCAAGTACGGATGGTATGGTATGGTATGAGATCGCCTTAAAGGATTTAGATTCTAGAATTAGAGTAGCAAGATAAACACGAGACTCAGACTCGCCTGAGGTCACTTCTCCATTTTGCATGTGTTCATCTGGGTGAATGTACCCAGTTCCAAGAAACGCAAAGCATACCCGAGACATCCATAGACCCGCATAGATCCATTTGAACGTACGTATAGCTGACACCACGTTTCAATAATCAAAGCTCATGAAGAACTGGTCGAGCACCTAACAGATCATAAACAAATAGCCAAGTATTGCACTTGGACTTGACAATTTTGAGTTTTGATGGATCAAAGTGGGCACGACACGGTGTCGGAGATTGAAATTCATCTTGCCTTGACTCAGGCTAACACTCAGCTCAACACTTGCGATGGTCTGTTTTTAATCTCTTGTGCTGCAATTTACCGCTAATGCTTCTATCTGCCCCCATGTATCTGTGCTGTATTTACATAACCATTCTCATACTCTGGTCGCCCTTGGCACCTGCAGGCATCACTCCACTTCTGCTCAGAGTGTAATAATTTGCTTTACCCAAAGGCTGACACTGGGCGTCGTATTATGGTTTACGCCTGCAGAATATGTAGCGAAGAGGAGATCGGCGAGAACAAGTGTGTCTATAGGAATGATTTACTAACGGTTACCAAGTAAGTATTTCGAGCTGAAATATTTTTGTGTCATCTTTCTGACCTCAAATCAACAGGGAACAAGTGGGAATTACTACCGACCTCGGATCAGATCCCACATTGGTCCGTTTCACCCTTCAGCGTCATGTTATATTATCCTAACTGATTCCGATATCTGATAGGCACACTCAAATATAACATGTCCGCATTGTGGCCAAGACGAGTGCGCGATGTCGACACAGTTCAGCTCACCCTCACTAACGATACCTTCTGCTCCACTCTAGCGCCGTTTTCTACCAGGATCAGTCAAAACGAAAGGAGACCCGCATGATTCTGTTCTTCGTGTGTACCAAGTGCAACCACAGTTTTACAGACCCTTCGCTCCCGCAAGACAATCGACCTGACACCTCCTGACACTTGAAGCTTAATCGTTATCAGTTGCATACATTTCGCACAATCTGTAATCTACCTCCCTTGATAATCGGTTCCTCTCTAGCATCATCGAGCATTGTGACGCCATACATAACATAAGAACAGGGGTCAGGCCAGTCCAGAGGTAAATCAAATGTCGTACTGCTTCCATGGTGTGCCTTGGCTGGTTTCCAAAAAATGTACCTTGACTATCTTGACACTCCAAAGCCCAAACAATTGCCGAGAGATGCGGGCCCATGCGGCTGTCACGCGCTCGGAACTTTGAAACAGGCAGCCCCGACTGGCTGCCGCGGCATCTTCTGTCAACGGCTTATTTCCGTCCCGCAACACCGATTGACTCATCTGCCTCAGCTAGCAAGCTTGCTCGACCACTCAGCCATTTCTTGTACTTGTAGGAGTGCTCTATCATCCAGCGAAGAGACTAGCTTGCAATCGATTTGAAGGCGTATTCACGGAGTTACCGATCTGAGGTTCGGAATTGCTTGCCCGTTTCATATCAGAAAATATTAATGAGATAACACCGTCCTTGAGGCTTGTAAAAAGCCTTTCATGGCAACCGAAAAACATTATATAGCTACAGTCGACACGAGGGCGTACGCCGTATTCGCTCGTTGCTCGTTAACTCTTTATATGAGCTAAAAGATAACACTGTCCTCGAGGCTCGTAAGTACCTTCTTTCGTGAAGGGAAGAGAATGGCCCACGCTCAACGTGAGGGGGTATTCGTTGATTTGCTACACTTGAATGAGGTCTATTTTCCCTCGTTTCGTGTCAACTGGCAAAGGTGTAAATGAGATAACACAGTCTTCGAGGCCCTCCACGAAGTCACGATGGGCATGATTTAATGTCCCAGTCGTCAACCAGTGAGATAGCGCCCACCTTCGATCGTCACGCGGTGCGATCTGCATATGGAGTCAGCGCTAAGCACCTCATCGAAGAAATGTTACGTGTCCTTTCTTCAAGTTTCGACTTCTTTCATTTCCCCCGCCAACCTCGTTGACGCCCTGTATACAAACATTGTTCGCGATAACCATGACCCTGACCTGGTGACATCTTACGTACCCGAGCTGCTAAAGTTGACTCCTGACCGTTAGTTGCGGCATCCATGACTCGCAAAAGTGCTAGTGGGCTGTGAACCTGATAGATGTCACAAAAGGGCTGTGAACTGCAAAGGAAAGCGGCTTGGCTGACAAGGGGACGCCGATACCGACAGGGGATAATAGACCAATTATAGGACAGATAAGGCTTCACGCCATCAAGGTATGTGGCACCAGGTGCCCTTGTGCGCCCCTCCATTGAATGATTGACATCCCGTCCACCACAACACTTTGACATGCATTAGGTTGGGTAAGCAATCGTCTATTTCGGACGTATGCTCAATCCATGTTGGGAATAATGTTACCTCAAACAATGAACGCAACAGGGCAAAGTGCTTAAAAACCGAAGCTCCCTGCCTTGAGTCCATCGTCAAGGGAAGCAGTAGCCTGTAAGGTCCAGGATTATAATAGTACTGCGACCTAGACGGGGACCTAGAATCCCGTGGCCCACAGTCTAGAAACGCGAAGGCCCGCTCCTAACAACCCGATGGGCACTTGATCAATTCATACGACAAACTCAGATCAGATTGACCTGACCAGATCAGCAACGTGTGTAATGTGCATGCAGAACTTCGTGCGTCTGCCGCATCCTCCATAACGTATCACAAGAATAGATAATTGCCGAATATCCGCCAACCCCTCGAGATTACAAATCGGTGCAAGTGCGCTACGGACCTTACCGCTGGCCAGAGTCAGGACTCAGGACTCACAAAAGTTCTATCCTTCCAGTGACTCATCGGATAGACACGCCACTGAGGGGTATCCCTAGACTCCATTTGAGTACGAAGGAGGTCATCTCAGCTCGTTACGGCACAATATCACAAAATCCCTGAAAAATTCGAAAGGAGATAGAACGTTGTCCAAGTAAATTATCGGGTAATTATTCAAACAAAAATTGATTTTCAATATATATACTTACTGAATACCATCGTCGGGTAGAACAGTGCTGGAGAGGGCTTGTGGTCCTTGCATTCACCGTTTTGCCATTGGTTTGCTGTTATCTTGCACACAAGGATCACATGAAAGATGGGGGAGATTTTTGGTTATTGGAGATAAGTCTGTGTAACCCAAGTATAACCTAATATATAGAGTGATCGGAGACTCAAATCTGGTAGTGCTGGATTCAGTAACCGATGGTTCCTTTCATACATTATAATTCGACTCAGTTGACCGCCTATAAAACTCTCTTATCCTCAAACCAACCAGTCCTTCCCCAACTTTCCTTAAGTTCCTTTATCTTCTTTCTAGATTCCTCCTCCCCCCAAGATACAAAGAACATAATGAAGTTCGCGTCTGTCCTTGCTCTCGCCGTGACTGCTGCTGTCGTAAGCGCGGAGACTAATGCCGACAGAATGGCGCGCGGTCTACCCCCATTGGCGCCCGCTCGTCGAGGTACACCCGTTGCACGTAAGTATGCTATCTTATTCGGTTTGACGCGTTCTGACTCTTTCCTAAGGTGCCAAGCGCACCGCTCCCTCAGGTGGGAGCGGCCAGTGCAACACTGGCACTATCCAGTGTTGCGACTCTGTTACGAATTCTGGCCATGGCAGTTCCCTCGATGAGTTGTTGTCGCTCTTGAAAATTGACACCCCTGTCGATACCCCTTGTGGTGTCAGCTGCTCCCCCATCAGCGCTATCGGGGGTAGTAGCGGCGCTAACTGGTAAATTTTTGCAATACACGTTTCATTGTGCTAGAATTAACATTTTTTTAACCACTAGCAACCAAGAACCCGTTTGCTGCGAGAACAACTCTTACAATGGCCTCGTGAACATCGGTTGCTCGCCCAGTGCGTTTGTTCCCTATCACTCTTGTATCCATACGCTCATACCCGCGACAATCAGTCAACATCTGGTGAAAAAATCACCTCATTCAGTATTTGGTTCAATGCCTGTACACGTTCCGCTCTTTTTTTCCCGTTTGATACACATAAAAGTCGCCTATTCTACCTTGTCCGCGGCTTTGGACTTTTCACCTTCACCAGGCATAGCCTTCGTTATTGTTTTGTTGCGTTTTTGTTCCCTCATGCAGTGATCGTTTATGGCTATACTTTTCCTGTAATGAGCTGGTACATTGGCTAGTTTCAAACGTCAACTGGTGTGGTAAAGGACACTACAAATATTATTTCTTCCGCTATTTTGCTGATTGACGGCGATCGTGATCCACGATCATGACAGGTGCCAGTTGAAATGTCGGGAGAAATTGCCAGTCGATCATACTAAATTGCGAAGCGTTGTAACAGTATCACGGTGTGCCCAGATCCTGGGTGTCGCGGATCCAAACAGTACTTGATGGCACGACACTCACTAGCATTCTTTCATGCTCGAACTTGTGTACATGCGGGTTAGCGCGAGAATCACCGAGTCATACCCAGGGCGGTACACCATATTTTAACCCGTCAAGTTAGCTGCTCATTTTATATTTATTATTTAGATACGACGATGATTGACAACGAAAAGAGGACTGAAAGACTCACTTGATGGTTGAGTGGGACGTAATACTGTTGATGGAGTGGTACATGTGCAGTATAGTGCTACCAACAATATTTAAATGTCATAAATGGTGGGATCACCCAATACATCAAGCAATATGCTAAGGTGGCCTCAGGCCCTGAGCTGTAGCCAATGGAAGGATACTGAATTTACGTAGTAACAGGTGCGCATGTTTATGAGAATAATAATCATGACAACGTAGTCCATATTGAGAACAGGAACCCTGTGTATCTATAGCCACTGACATGCACTGACAGCGTGTCATTGCTGCGAGGAGGTCAGCACCATCAAACCGCGTGTTTCAATTCTGAGAATCCTCGGTTAGTGGCATGCAGGATACGGGTCGCCAAACTTGAAATAAGGACGCCTCGGGCATGCCATCCCGAGCGGTCGCATGAAGTGACAATAGCCCCACTCAATTTGCAGTTTATTTCTTCAATGTAAGAACTCCTACGAAGCTGTCAAAACGCTTTCTAGGCCGGAGTTTGAAACAGAAAACATGCCGAGTCCGTGCCGCTGCCCTTAACGTTCGAGTCTCGTCTCTATTGTACCGGCAAACAAAGTTCCTTTCATGCACGCTTGGCTTTGAAGTTTTCGCTATTAGTCAGCTTGCATCTGCTGAGGACACCTTGCAATTGTTGCACCGACGGAGATGGTATTACTGGTGTTGTATAATTAAATTGGCATTTTTCGTGGTGATTGATTAGGAAGCCGCTCGTCGGTAATGTTGTAGCTTTACGTGTTTTCAGCAGGAAATGACCAGTTTGGTACGTACGTAGGACAGCTGTGCATTAGACTGAGGCCAACGTCATCGAAGGGGACCGGCGGCTGTTCGGCACTATATGAGCTCCGCGACGCCCGTTTATGTAATGAACTGCGAAAACAAACTCAGGTACTCAATTAATTTCACGTCAGCTTATTTTGCTATCAAAACACATATGTAACAAATAAACTGTAATACTATCCGGGCATTCCAGTCTGCCCGTTGCACTGGCCGCTACTGGCTGTCGGGCTACCATGACCGCATCTAACAGCCCATCATTGCAATCTACCAGTGATTGTTGTTAGATGTCGTGCTCACTATGTATCACCAAAACAACCGTGTCGGACAGATTAGCCCGCATCAGATCGACGACCAATGCAAAAAATTGCTGCTCTAATTACATAAGCAGTCTCCCGTTATATGCAAACCGTGATGAGGCCCATCCTTGGCTTCCCTTCGACGCTGAGCGCGAACGTTGAACCCCATTATGGTGTACAACCATATCAACACCAAAATGTTTACGTGCCTTTGTGTCCTCTAAGCAGCGTGACAAGAGTGATGAAGATCGCGCATTTTCTTAATATCTAGCGAGACCGGCTAAAGTCAGTGCAGGAGAGCACTGGAAAACCATCAATGTTTTACAACATGGTGAGCTAGAGATCATGGATAGTGTTATATATTCACCGGATTAATTACAGATTTATAATGTATCTCTTGACCATGCAAACGCCGATGCCATCAACTGCATGATGGACTCTAGTGCTGTCCGTTTTGCATCAGTCTTGCATCAGAGTTGTACAGCCCATACGTGCTCCTCTGTATCCTGCTCAGCAATGGGATGAGGCGATAGGAACACAGATAGAACATACACGCTACCGTGCATGGTGCACGCATGTTACTTATGCGGCTCTTCGTATATAGTCCAATTCTCCCATTCGCACACAGTCTACCTCAATGCTTCAATTTGACATAAGTTTAGGTCACAGGGAATCCCGCTCTTTCGAAGCCGAACCGAGGCCGCTCGATGAAATTATACAAAGGAGAAACGCATTGTTTGTGAGGATGTGATATGGGATCAAATAAATCTGAAAGTGACAGTAGGAATGCGCCTTTCTTTTATGTGCCGAGCATTGTTCTTCTTGGCAATGTAGTAAAAGTTTATCCACCTGAAATCTCATTTCGAACAGAATGACGTCTGCAATGCCAGCAGATTGCCACCTAAGGTCAGCCCCATGAAGCGAAGTCTATTGGCAATCTTGCGTGGAGTGAGATATCACCTTGTAAAGCAAGGCCAGCATTTGCCAGCTCACAAGTGCTGATCAACTGCTTAGAGCAGGACCTGAACCCCCTTGATTGAAATTGTTACCACAGGCTAGATTGGTTGAACTTCGAGACAATCGATTGTGTGTCATAGATAAAATCTTATTGGTTGCAAAAATTCTGGGGGTAGCTGCTTTGATGCAGGCTTGCCACCCTGAACGCGCCCATGACGCGTTCTGACGTGGAATTTTCAGCCCCGTCAAGCTTGTTCGCAACCAAAGATGATTCTTTGCACTTACAGTATACAGTCACAGTGGGCCCACGGCTACATTCCATACTGCTCTTCCCGTCGACATGTGGCTTTATACAAATTATGAGGCGCTAAAGACATGTTTAATCAGATTCAGTGTATTGCAATAGGTTTTCTGATATAAGACATGCATCAGAATCAACAACTCAACCAAAGCTTAAGACCATGCAATCCGATTAGTATACTGGAATGATTGACGCGGCACTCTAGTACTGACGACAGCATGGGTGAGGCCTTATCCTTGCTGTGAGTCCATGCACGACAAGCATCTCATTGAGGATAAGATTCCAGTGGTTTGAGCAATGAACGTTGCATGTCATAGAAAGGAGTGTTTTCTAGTGGTGTCGCGTCATTTTCACCTGGCCTAACAACCCTACATGATGTAAAGCCCGCCGCACATCCATAGTAACATCCTACCGCGGGCTGAATACATCATGTGGATGTTTGTGAATACGAAATATGTCCAGGTCATTGTGAGGCGCGAGGCGCTTGAACAGGGACTGAATCGCCAGTGTCGCAGAATATGTATTGCCTAGAGGTCCGATATTGATGTATGCTGGCCGCAGAGGGTGGCATACCGCTCACTGGGACTACACCCAGCCGTCTTCGTTCGCCGTGCACGGGAGGCCTTTAATGGCCTGGCACGCCAACCCGATGAGGTGATTCATCTCGTACGTTGCAGCAATGGGTTCTTCCCGATTTTGTGATAGCATTGGCGTAATTTTACAACCTGATTGATGACTCGGTGCCACGTGGAAATATGCTGCAAAGGCTGGTTACCGGGACTGTAGACGGAGGAAGACCATTGTTCGTTCTATACTATGGGGGAGCATTAGACAACGTTGCCAAGGCCGTGAAGATGTTGCGCAAGAAGATTCTGGAAAGTATCGTATCAATCCACATATGCGGCTAAGTTTGAAACCTATTTGCAATGCCAAATTGAGTTGAAACGCGCTTATGTCAATACTAGAAACTACACTGGCAAATAATAATGGATGTCATATGCGTACAAAGAACTGCCCACTCAAAAAATTCAAAACTTCCCAAATATTTTATCTGCTTTCTTGTCAGTATTAATAAATGCGAGCGATCGGATAACTAACAAATTTATCCTGCGCCACCTGAATTGATGGGGAAAGTGCGGGACAACTGTTCTGTTTGTTTGTTGAGCATGTCCGACATCTCTACAATCGTCTGATGGATTTCGCGGATGTCCTTCCCGGCTTGCCTCAAGCGCCACAACGCCTCCATTGTGGGAGCCGAGGCATCTTCCATCTCTTTGAAATCATCCCTCGCCTTTTGCACTGCTTTTAGTGCGTTCACCATGCTTTCATTTGCTTGGTTCAACGAAACATGCTGGAACACACTAATCAGGAATGAGGCCTGGGAACGATCTGAAGAGATAAGTTTACAGGTGGTGGTGCGCATGATGGTGCGCGTTTTGCAGGATCTTCCTTGCGCAGCAGCATACATCCTACGAGGGTTGACCAAACAAGAAGTGTGCAGATGGTCATGATGATATCGATGATGATGTTTCGCCCCATCGTTGGGTGGTACGTTGTAGCATCGATGGCACAGGTCAAAATTGACCTCAAAGGGGAGATAAGAATCCATAGATGGCCAAGGGAGTAGGCGAGCGCGTGATAAAGCATGCAGAGCGTCACGAGCATGATTGATACTACGCAGTACTGCAAGGGTACAAGATCAATCTCGTCAAGTTGAAATTCCAACGTTTGCGCATGTTATAAATACATCTTGAATGCTATATCAATTGCGGAAGGCGCAACCGCGAATGGTGTTGGAATTTGGCAGTAAGGAGAAACAAAAGACAATACTTATCTATTAATCAAATTCCAGTGAGACCGGAACCTTAAATTGGAACTATATAGTAGCATTCGGATATCTCCGGATGGCTTGCCTCGCCTAAATCTATTCAGCAAAGTCAATCCTCACCGCGCCGCCCAACGTCAAGATGCCCAAAGGTTGGAATGCATATCGTTTATAAGAGTCCAAGGCTGACCGTTCATACTAGTTTACAAGCCCGGAAAAGTGCTTTCATCATACGCGATGTCACTCTGGTTCTAACCTTGTTGTCTAGGTCGCCATCGTCCTACAGGGCCGTCAGGCAGGCAAGAAGGTTGTCGTTATTAAACAACTCGATGAGGGAACCAAGGAGCGACCATACCCCCACGCCATCGTTGCCGGCATCGAACGCTACCCGCGAAAAGTTACGCGGACTATGGGTGCCAAGAAATTGCAGCGGAGAAGCCGCGTTAAGCCTTTCATTAAGGTAAGTACACATGGACCGCGACATGGAGATGCGAACTGACATGTGTCATATGTCTTAGGTGATTAACTACTCGCATCTATTCCCCACGCGTTACGCTTTGGAGTTGGAGAGCTTGAAGAACTCAGTATCAGCTGACCACTTCAAGGAGCCATCACAACGGGAGGATGCACGGAAGAACATCAAAAAGTTGTTCGAGGAGCGCTACCAGACCGGAAAGAACAAGTGGTTCTTCCAGGCCCTTCGCGTATGTCTATTCGTGATGCCTGCTGCGTTTAGAGCTGACTGTCTGCGATATAGTTCTGATCGCTTCTTTTTATATCTGTGGTGCTTGGGAGACGACTTAGCAAAACTACATGTACACCACATGTCCCTACATGACGCATGCTTTTTATGCACCATTGCATGATATTTCTACGTGGACGTGATGCTTGCCTGTATATCGGTGTGATTACTGTAACTCGCAGGCGCAAGTCATGCAAGTCGCTATTTATTTAACCAGGCGGTCCGCCCGCCTAGCAGCTTTTGTATCATAGATGCATTTCAGGATTTGTGAACAGATCGTTGTCCGTCATCAACTCAGTGTAGCAATATGACATCAGTCATCCGAGAGTCTTAAGTTCCCTTGTACAAAGTTACGAAATCACCCTAGCTCAATTGACGATTGAACGTTGAGTCAAACGGATCTCAAGTTAGTACTTTGTGTGCTCCTGCCACTTTTATTGCACTTGTCTCAGCATCTTGATTCTCCTTCATAAGACAAGCGACTGTTTTCCTTCTGATACCTACGGGTATTCTATATTAATTCTCAGTCTTCATCTTTGTTTCAAACCGTGTACCATTGTTTCGCTCTGCCAAGGTCAGGATCGTGGGTTTGATCGAGTTGCATCTTGTATCAGGAGCAAGGTGAGTCCGCATCGGCTCCGATCTCTCAATACTCAGGCTCGAACTACTTCCTGCTTTATAGCTCATAAAAAGGTTGCAAAAATGTCACTTTTTGGTGGTACCACAACGCAACCCCCAACAAATATCTTCGGTACCACGAACTCCCAGCAACAGCCTGGGCAGACAACGAGTACCACAAGCACCCAGCAGCCGTCGGGGCAGACACTCGGTGCCCAAACCCCAAGCATCTTCGGCAATACAAACACCCAACAGCAGCCTGGACAGGCAACGGGCGGCAGCATCTTCGGTAATACCTCCACACAGCCATCTACGTCCGGTACAACTTTCTTCGGAACGCCTAGTACGGCGACGAGCACCACTGCAGGTGCGGGTGGCGGGAGCTTGTTTGGGAATACCACAACGTTACAACAGCCTGCAGGGACTGGTTTGTCTGGGAATACCAGCACTCAGCAACAACAGCAACCTGCAGCTGGTTCATCTGGGAATACCAACAATCAGCAACAACAGCAGCCTGCAGCTGGTGGTTTGTTTGGTAATACTACAGCCAGTACAACCCAGCAGCCTACTACGGGTGGTCTGTTTGGGAGTACGAACTTGAACACGCAGGCACAGACGCAGACGCAACCTACAGGAACAAGTCTGTTCGGGAACACGTTGACTCAACCTGCTGGGAACTTGTTTGGGACCGCAGGTACCCAGCAGCAGCAGCAACCACAGCCACAGCAAGGCGGGAGTCTCTTCGGAAGTACCACTACCCAGCAGCAGCAACCACAGAGTGGTGGTCTCTTTGGAGGTACTACGACCCAACAGCTCGCTACCGGTACTGGCGGGCTGTTTGGAACGTCGACTACTCAGCCAAGCACCGGCGGGAGTCTTTTTGGTGGTACCAGTTCCCAAGCGCCGACATCAGGAGGGAGTACTCAGCAGCAACAGCAACCTGCAACCGGTAGTCTATTTGGTAACACAACAACTACACAACAGCCCGCCACGGGTAATGTCTTTGGGAGTACGACCACTCAGACACAACCTGCAGGAACAAGTCTGTTTGGTAATGCGACAACTCAACCTCAACCTGCTGGGAACTTGTTTGGGAATGCGGGTGCCCAACAACAGCAGCAGGCTGGGGGTCTCTTTGGAGGCACCGCGGCCCAGCAGCAGCAGCAACCACAGAGTGCTAGTCTCTTCGGAAGTACCACGACCCCGCAGCCTGCTACCGGTACTGGTGGGCTGTTTGGAACATCAACAACCCAGCCAAGCACCGGCGGGAGTCTTTTTGGTGGTACCAGTACGCAAGCACCAACATCGGGAGGGCTTTTTGGTAGCACGACAGCCCAAGCTCCAGCTACTGGAGGAGGTCTCTTTGGCAGTACGACAACGATCTCAAACCCGTTGTTTGGGAATAAAAATCCAGCGAGTATTTTTGGTACTGCGCCGCCCCCCTCCTCGACCACTCCAACTCTATTTGGTCAATCCCAATCCGCGCAACCTATTGTTGCCCCCTCGCTATTTGGCCAGTCCCAGCAGCAGAAACCAGCTGGCTCCCTGTTTGGCTCAGTGAATCAGCCTGCGCCGAATACAACCACTGGAGGGCTTTTTGGCAATACGCTAGGTCTTCCACTACCCAATTCACTTCTCGCATCGCGAAGCACTGCACCTGCACAACAACAGGATCCTCAGTCACAATATGCGGCGCTTGAGCAGAGAATCCAAGCAATTGTACAGGCCTGGGATCCTTCTTCGCCAGCATGTCGCTTTCAGGTCGGTCGCATGCAGTTTATAGTTTACCGTGAACTTATCTATCGGATAGCATTATTTCTATAATCTCGTTCCACCGTCTCACGTGAGCGCTTTCGGCAGGCCTGCAAATGCCACGAACGAGGCGCTTTGGCAACGCGCGGTGCACGATAACCCTGACCCTAGTTGGTGAGCTCAATGACTCGTCTACCACTCACTGTGCTCATGTTATCTCTTCAGTATGGTACCTGTTCTTGCAGTTGGCTTTGACGATCTGCGTCAGCGCGTGGACGGACAAATGAGGCAAGCCACGGATCAGCAGAAAACTTTGATGGTTTGTAGCTATTTCTTACATTGTAGAAAACTTCCTTACTCAGGCGTGTTTCAGGAGCTAAAAAAGCGACTGGAATCGTTGTCCGCGAGACATAACGATAGTAACGCATCACGTTTGCAGCGCGCAAAGTCGATCCAATCACAAACTCAGCACCGCCTATTGTGCCTGATCCAGCACATGCATCTAATGCTACCTACTGTCCGGTCTACGGCGATACGTCCCGAAGAAGAGGCTCTACGTCTAGCGCTCGAGGAGATCGAAGAAGAAATAAGAAGACCAGGTGGGATGAGTAAGATGCGAGGAAAGCTGAATGAGCTGTGGGCACTCGTAGGGGCTATCAACGCTGCCCGCGAGAGAGGCAGAAGAGTGGGGCTTGACGGTACATCTGAATGGACGGTCGTCGATGAGGAGGGCCTCAAGCAGATCGCTCAGGTAGGGGTTTCATTTGTGAACTCAGGACTTCGACTCTGACATGCTCATTGCAGATCTTGTCCAATCAGCAAGCCGGTTTACAGCATTTGACGAAGGTGTTGCAACGCGATCTGAGGGATCTGGAAGTGATATATGGAAGAGAGAGCTAATCGGAAACTCCGTAATTCGCTCGAGCACGCTGCTTTGTTATTGTGATCATGAGCTCCACATTATTTTTGTAATTGAATACATAGAATTGTAGGTAGACAACAATCGATCATGAGCGTGCGAGTCGGCCACCTGGGTCTGTTTTGTACATAAGGAGCCTTTGATTCCGATCCGTATTACTGTCAGTTCGTGAACAAATGTTCCTCCTCCTGTAGCGCTCAGGATCCTTCATTCTACTACCATAATCCCTCTCTGCGCTCAGTAGTACATTCAAAAATGCGTTATCGCACCCTCGAGATTCGATGGCATGATTCCAAGCCCATATCCACTTGCGACTTTCAACCTGTTCCGTTCAAAAAAGCGCGTCCAACGCAGGAGAAGAATTTTGCTGCGCAGTCCTATAGGCTGGCCACGGGAGGCGAGGACAACCACGTCAGAGTGAGTGAGCCTTCAATGGTACATCCAGTGCGCTGACCAACCGGGCTCGAAAAGATATGGATGGTGCATCCGAACATCCTCCCGTTGTCTCTTGCAGAGGGTGCAGGTGATGCTGCACCACGCCCTGCCCGGGTCGAATATCTTGCAACGCTTAGCAGACACTCGGCTGCTGTGAACGTTGTTCGATTCTCCCCTAACGGTACGCGTTTTGCGCACGCGCCTTGTCAGCCTTGACCACTTTATTAACGCGACTTTAGGGGAGTTCATCGCCTCCGCTGGAGACGGTATGAATCTTAAATATTTGGCTGATCCTATTTGACGCGAGTTCATTGAAAGACGGCATGATTATCATTTGGGCACCTTCAAGCACGCCGCAGACCGCCACGTATGGCAGTGATCTGACTGCGGACGAATTGCAATACGAAAAGGAGTACTGGAAGCCGCGTACGACGTTCAGGTAAGATAACTTTCATGCGCAGTTTCAGATCGAGGTAAAATGAAATATGGGACAGGTGCACGACGATGCAGGTGTATGACCTGGCGTGGAG